GTAAGAGCCATCGAATGAAGGTCCTAATAAAAGAAAACCAACAACGCAAACTAGGGGTTTATTTCTATCTCAACCCAGTAAAAAATGGTAGTCAATTGAAATTCTCAGAAGGCATGTTATGAAGTACTTTTTGAGCCTAATTACTATTGGTTCGAAAACCCAAAATGGAGGATTTTGGGGGAAACTAAAAAATTTTACTCAAACAGCTACAACAGTTACTAGATTAGGAACTTAATGTGACGTCATTTTGGAGCAGACGTGCGTGGTAGCGGCCAGCGGCTCACGTCTGGCGTGCGAATAGCCACTGCATAATACCGATAATACGTACCTATACTCCTTAGTTTTATCATAGATAAAAGGAATATATACATGAGTAGACATAAAAGGAGCAGTTTGGGTTCATGAAAGGTAAAAATACTGACCTAGCACTCCTAGCAGTTGAAAGACACATAAGCGAGATAGTTTTAATCATGTTGATGAGCCTAAACCAACAATAGTTTATCTTGACTTTACTAAGGCATTTGACTTAGTTAATCAAGACATATTATTACATAAACTAAACCAGTTATATGGAATTCAGGGCAATTGTTATAAGTGGTTTGAGACTTTTTTAAATGAAAGAAAACAAATGGTTAAATAAAAAAAAGTTTATTTAGATGTATGTTCTCAAAGGCTTGGCGTCCCTCAAGGGGGAGTGCTTTTGCCCAATTTTATTCACAATTTATATTAATGACATGCTATCAATGGATTTAAAATCGAAGATATACTGTATGCTTTTGCTGATGATACATCTTTAGTATGCCAGTGCCAACAATTATGATTTACTGAGAATGAAAATTAATAATGTGGAATGTAATATCATATTGGATAGGCCTAATAAGAAAACAAATTAATCGTCAATACTTCTAAATCTAATGAAATGAAATGATATTTACTTACAAACCTCATTTGACAGAGTCGTTACTCGTTGAAAGAAAGAGATCGATCTACGTTGTCATTTAGTTACTTGTTTTCGTGATTGTCGCTGTACAAACACTAATTTGGTTGATTCCGTCAAGTATCTTGGCCTTCATATAGATTCAGATTTAAAATGGCATTCACATGTTAATCAACTAAAAAAACGTAGACAAATTAACTATAATTATTTCTTTCATTTGAGACAGTTTATTACTCCTAAACTTCTTAGAACGCTATATTTATCCTGGTTTGAATCTACTCTTAAGTGTGGTTTAATATTGGGGAGGGACGTTTTCAACAATACCTAAACCGATTGTAATAATGGAAAAACTTACATTAAAAACTATTTGTGGTGTATAGAAATTTTCAGCTACACCACTGTTACAGTACTTAGACGTAATGCAGCTAGAGAAGATATATTTATATTCAATTTCATGTTATTATAAAAAGTATACTAGTTTATTTCAAACAGTTGTTATTAATATAGGAATACAAGAATAACTATACTGAGGGTATGCTTGTGGTATCCACTGAGCTCCGTTATGAAAGACAAAAGCAGGTTACAGTGTTACCATAAGGTAGTAAAATGTTTTAACTTTAATTTTAGAGTACTCAAAAATATGCAGGATTTGAAAATTGAATTATATAAAAGTAAATTAAAGGTATTGATAAAAAATGACTCAAATCAAACAAACAAAGTGAAATAATTAATTATAGAATTCATACCGTTAAACGATTTGTAAATATAAAATCTTAGTATGTAAGAGTGGATATAGAGGCAGTGATGGGATGAACCATAAGTGTTACAGGGAAAAATCAAAATATATATTAGGTATCAGTGACAGTGTCTTATTAAAATAAAATTAACCTACTCAAGACAGTGTTTATAGAATATAAGATATAGTTTTTCAACCGCGCGTGTTTTATAACACATATATAACTATTTAGCTATGAGGATAAAACTCATTTCATTTAAGTACGTTGCGGGTGCGAGGCTAGGGAATCTCTCCAAGCCGGCTGAGTTGAGTTGGCCGGTCGACCGACTGAGTTTTACGACATGGCAACCGCACTTAGTCGGTTTCGAGACTAGCGCCGCCTAGGATCTAGTCTGTTTTTGGGCAAAAAATTGTTAACACATTTGACAATGCGTGGGGTATCTGCAGTGGGTATCTGTGTCTATTATACTCCTTTTATCTATGGTTTTATCTATGCTAACATCTATGCTCCAGTCCAGCTGTATTTCTTTTCAAGCAAAAGGTGTGGTCACACTGTTTTGGTGTTGCCTTACTTCTTCTTAATTTAGTTCGTCTTCTTATTCTTTTCTTCTTTCCCTTCTGCCTTCTTTCAAATTTAGAATAATATTTCTTTCAGTTTCAAGTTTCAACAACCAGATAAAATTCATGTTCATGATTGATTTTTGATATTGATACTCAGGTCATAGGAGTATTTTAGTGTATAAAGTCGTAATTTCAAGTTCTTCTTCAAAGGCAATCTGCGAAGTGATATAACTGATGTCAATCTGAAGTTGTCTTTATATTATTACAGGTATTGCTGTAGAAGTTTAGCCAAAATTATTTAAGCTAACCTAGAGATTAAGGTAGGCCCGGAGAGTTGCTTTTTTGTTGAAATCCATTATCTGTTAATAAGTATGTACTGTTGATTGAAATGGCGATCATATAAAGTAGGCTAGGGCCTATGAATGGAGATGAGTAGGATGAGTGCCGCACATAGTGATGCACTGAGCTATAGTAATTGAGTAGGGAATTCATGTTTTCAATATGTTGTCATTATCATGTGTTTTCTTGAACACTTTTCTGCTTTTACAAAGTTTGTTACGAATCCATAGACTACAAATGATGTTTTTGAGGGCTGCACTTTACTTGACGTCCTACACTCATTCGAATAAAAATATCGATCGATATATCGATTAATTGATTGCTTCATTCGATATATCGTTTGGTTAGTTAGGTAAGGTTAACCTAACCTAACTAACCAAACGATATATCGAATGAAAATATCGAATCGAAAAGACAATCGAATGAGTGTAGGACGTCAAGTAAAGTGCAGCCTTTTTGAGTTTTACCCTTTCTAGGCTATTTTGACTCTACGTTAAATCTTGAACTCAGACATTGTCTTGGAATGACTACAAATAAGTTACGTTAACTTAGCTGAAGTATTTATAAAAAAAGATAAAATCGAGAATAAGCCTAGGCCCAAATATTAAAGAATGGCTTCTCAATGGGTTTTCTAGATGTGTTATTAGGCCTACCTACATTTTTATTTTCTATAGCCAATTAAGTTAGAATAATTTTATTGTACCTTGGCCTAGCCTAATAAGATAGCCCATTAGAAATTATCAAGGCCTATGCTGACTGACCTACGGATAGCTTAGCGTTAAGTTTGTAAAGAGGGAACTCAATCCTGGTATCCCAGATCAATATAGGCCTATCAATATTATAAATGGCCTAAGAGGGAAAATATTATAACTTATTACCCTTAATCTGCAAAAGGTCGCATTTAAGTTAGCTGACCGGGTTTAACTTTATACTTTTTGCAAAAAAAAAATGTTTTTTTATGTCGGTATTGTCAGCATTTACTTATTTTTTGGGCATAACACACCACATTACAGGGACACTGTGACAAACTTTTTGCCATCCTCCACCTCATTTCAGTCTTGCGACAGCTTTTTGTCATGTCCACACTGGTTGATTCCACTCTGTGCATCTCCTTGTGTTTTGGAATTACCGGTCAATAAGACAGTGGCATCTCCTTTTCTCCTTTTGGTTTATGAATTAATGAGTTATTATTGGTTTAATTGTTAATTGGCTAAAGTTTTATTCATTAGTATTGCCACTAAATTATGTGCTGGGCGCTGGGCTATAGAGAAGTCTCTCAGTGGCTAGACATGGAATCTAATGAGGGCACTTTCCTGTTAAAGGGAACACTCCTTATTTTTGATAATTTTTTTGATAGCCTTTATTGATATTTTATTTTTTTGATCCGATATACCCTAGGCCTATCACTAATGAGTTGAAACTTGAAACATACCATATCAGCTGACACCTATGATAAGTTAAATAAATATTGTTCAGTATCAACAAACAATTAAAAAATATTATATTGAAATGAAACTTGTTTTAAACTAACCTAGCTAACCAAACTAATGCTGTAAAATTTATCCCCCACATGCCTTTTCTGTTATAAAACGGAATTTTGAAATGTAAAGCAAGTTTGGCAAGTTATTTTAGGTTAGTTTAGAACAGTTTCATTTCTTATTCCATAAATTATTTTTGCCTAAACAAGATCAGTTGTCAATTTGCAATAATTTAAATGTGTTTGAATACCTATATTAAAACAGAAGTAATGGATTGAAAAAAAAATATATATCGATATGTAAAAAAATCATCGATAAAGTTCTAATGAATGTTCTCTTTATAGGCCCTAACAAGAAAGTAACTTACCCTAATAAGTAAAGTAGGCTAGGATTGATAGTCCATCGTCGAGTGTTGAGAGGGATGAGAATGTTGAACGTTTTTGTGAGGATATTTTCTAAGGCACCTTTTCAATGAACCATTGATGTGGGAGACAAATATTTTAATGTTAAAGATAAAACTTAAAACTCAAAGTTGAATTTTATCATCACAAGACAGTGAAGACTCGTAATGATTTTATAACTGAACTTTTTATAGTGAACTATGTTTTTTTTATAGATAACTATAGCCTACAGTTTGTTTCATACGTATTTGTCATACACAACAAAACTTTTGAGGCATTATTGAATTATTTATTTACTTAGAAACGGTTTACACAAAACAAACAATGCAAGGTGTATGATATTATTATGACTGTTCATTGAATACAAGTTCTGAGTGATGGAAATAAATTGAACAAACTTGAACAGACTAGCCTACATCACACACATGTAACTTATGGAGGTCTATATTATCTAGCTTATGTAGATTTATGTTTAAATTCATGCTACCTATTAAATATCTGTTTATTGCAATAAACATAATTTACCATAAGCCTGTAACTGTTTCCAGATTAACTTATAACCTCAAGGAGAAGACATGGAGTATTTTATTCGTTTTCACATCTTATTGTTAATTTCCTTAACCATGGATCAAATGGTTACTGGGCTGAAATCTTTCAAAGAAAGAGATAAGGTAAGTTTTCATGTGGAATATTATTTTATTATTTTTAACATTTCATAGTTGGTCTATATTTACCTACTTTACTTTTTGGAGTTTTTTGAGCTTTTTTCAGGAAAATATAGGTTTGTAAAATCTCTTATAACATTCTAACTTCTGAACCAATTTTATTGTTTGATATCTCATTTTAAAGAGCAAGAAAAGTGCTAACTTGTTGTGCATACTCATATTTTCTCAATTATTTTATGAGTAATGGCTTCCATAAATATATTTTTATAATTTTTTAACAAATTTCCCTATAGGGAAGTAGCTATTAACTTACCATATGTAGCACGGTAAGACCTGGGCCTGAGACTGATTTACTTTTATCATTTTGAGGTCTCTAGAGGCCAAAAACACTTTGCTCAAATTTTTATACACCGGTAGGCCTATGTATATATATCATAATATATACGTCCGTGAACGCGATAACTTGAGTAATTTTTGTCCGATTTTGATAAAATTTGGCTTGAAGGTGTAGTGCGAGATAAACTAGAATGGGTTCGTGAACCAGCATGATCGGACCATGGGAACGTGGTTTACGGAGGGTTTTATGGAAAACGGATTTTTTTTCATTTTTGACCATCAAAACACATAGGCCTAATTTTAAAATTTCTCTCTAAACCATTACCAAAGTTTTTTTGTACGCTTATTGGTTACTTATAAAATTAATATTATTTTTTTAGATTGAATTAAGGAGAGAGCTTGATAAGATTACCCAGGACTTGTTGGTGAACAAAGACCCTTTTTACCACTCGTATGTCTTTAACTCTGGAGTTGGAAATAGGGAGAGTAAGTATATATCAGTTGCTAAATTTCCATAAATTGCTAACTTTTTAGTTGATTTATAATCAAGTTAAGATAATATTTAACTAACTTCTTTTCTAGGGGGGGGGGGGGTAGGTTATAAGAAAATATGTTTACACCTCATTATTTTTAAAGTACTTTAATACTAAATTACAGAATCTGAATGTTTTTATTGTCCTTCAGCATTACAATCATGCAATAGACAAAGTCAAGGTTTGATAGCCTACATTACAAAAATTAGGCTATACAGTATCAGAGTCAACGTTTAAATGCTAACAGTTTTAAAATCGTAAAAAATGTATTACCTATTAAAACTATTGTAAATATTGGTCTTCTTTAAAATACTGTAAATATCACAAAACAATGTTATTTTTTATACATTACATCTTTATCAAATAGTTTTTACAAGAATTCTTTCCTTCCGAATATTTAGCATTATATTTTTGGCAGTCTGGAATATATCTATATATTAATAGGCATATATTAATAATAGGTAAACATGTTTCTAAAAAACCTTTTTTTCTCAGCTCGTGTCCATCACAGGGAAAATCTAAGCATATTGTTAGAAAGATATTTTCCCTTATATATTGCAGAATCCCTTTATAAATTAAAATAGGCTTAAAAAAAGCACAAAAAGTAAATTTCATCTTTAAAAAAAATAACATGGGCCTTATGGGTTACCATGCTGGTGAAAAAATAACAACCAAATATAAACAGATACCAATCAAAACAACTGGAAGAAATTCCAATCACATGTTTTATTTACAGCGTGGGGTAAACATATAGAAGTCTGTACATTACATATTTTTGGTTGAGTTTTTGACCACTGGACGACCTATAGCCAACAACCTTGCTTCAGTGTGAACACAGCCTCACCTGAGGAACGTTGTGTCAGATTGCCACTTATTGTGCCAGTTTTATACTTCAATCTAAGATTAGTTTTCAGATTCGGCTATTTTATCAATGGAGGGGACTGTTCCAAATTTTAGCTTGGGGTTTTGGCTAGGATTTAGTGGAACGGAATAGAATTATGATAATAATTATTGTAGTGAAGCATTGTGGAAGGAACCTCACCTCAAAATTGTGTTTGACGGCTTTTTTGTGATATTATTTCATGGTGTATTCGAGTTTTTTGCCCCTGCCTTTTTCCTCCATTTGGCAATACTGAGGGCCTGCTAGCAGTTTTGTTTAGTGCTGCTAACTGTTGGGATCTTCAAACGTAGTGTATATGCTATAATATGCCTCTCATTTGGATGAAACTAAATTTAAACGTTTTTGCGGACTCAACCACGCAGCACATTAGCTGTTCCCGCCACCGGCCGCAGCCAGCCATCTCGCAATCACACTGAACGTGTTAAACAATTTAATTTGAGCTCAACAACTTTATTGTATCACAGATTTAAGATTTATAACCTGTCTACACCTAATTCACTACTAGGATATTAAACAAAATTAGATACAAATAATACTTTTTGTAAGGAGTACTATTTCTAACTGTGATGTATCCAGAATAGTATGGTTGTATTTGGTTATTATTGTAATTTTTCCAGAGCTGTCAGTTGAGTGGATGAGACAAGACCCATTGCTTGCTGCTGGAGAAGCTGTTATTGGTTGGCAGGCAAAGTCAAACCGAGGCCAGGTTCATCTCCTGGGCCGGAAACATTCCTCGATCACGTTGGTAACAGCGCCAACTCAACTGTCTGCCAACAGATCACTTCAATTTCAACAGCATTCCTTAAGTAAGAAGGTCTATCTACTTAGCAAAAGGTTAAATAGTTGCATTTGTAAAACACGAGTTGTATTTCCTCCTGTTAGGGGTGATAGGTATCCAGGGGTTAGGAGGAATTGTGGGTTTTGTGACTGAGGAAAGACACCAAAGCAGCTGTTGCTGACATTAAATTGATGCCACCCTACTGTCCTGTCCTGTTAGATTAGTGAGCTGGTCTAGGTGTATATTGCAGGGCTTCGGTCTCCAAGGTTCCAAGTTCAAATCCTGCCAATCACTAATTGCTTTAACACGTGATAGTGCCGTAACTCTCTAGTTCTAACGTGAAGTAATGTGTCAAACAGTTCCACGCTAGAGCCTATAGTCCTAGGATGTAAAGGGAGGAAATTAAAATAAAATCTAAATTGTAAAGTGAAACAGCTTGAGTAGAGGGTGGAGTGGACGGACGTTAAAATAAAAGCTTTGGACACTTAAATCAGTCCATGTTAATAATACATTTAGATGTCTACTAGAAGCGTTGGAATTATGTCAGCCGACTCTAACACAGTCTGTAATCTATAAGCTTACACAGCATTTGTTCTCTGAATGTAAAAAATCCTCCAATAGATCCTTTGTAAAATATACTGCAGTTCGTCTATCTGACAACAATCGACATTTGTTGTTCAAAGGTTTATTGCGGACATTTTCCATCATAATGGAAAAATAACAAAAAAAACAACAACTCAATAATGTTGAACTTCAAATTAAGAATTGACATTATTAACCATTTTTTTGTAATTTTTTTAGGTTATGCAGCCAATGTGACAAGTACATCACTATTCACAAGATGGAACCCAGAATCTTCCCAGCCGGAAGTGGTAGTTGTAGTGGCATTAGACACATCTACTGCTGGTATTTTATTCTACCGGATCATGGATGCAAAATTGGTAACATTTATATCAAGTTTTGCAGTGATAGGAAAGATTAAATATAAAAAAAAATTAAGTGCTTTTTAATTCTGTACAAGTGGGCTGGAATCTAATATTTATTATGTTTATTATGGAATCAAAACTGACTCCTAACCTAAACAATGACTCCAACTTTGACTTAATAACATAAATATGGGCTAAAAAGCTTTAAACCTAAAGTAAGCACATCACTTTTTGATAAACAAGCACTAAAAAAGTAAAACTACTGACACTAACATAAACATGAATATTATATCAATAATTATTTAGTGGTCAATAATTATTTTTGTTGACACAATGTTAAGTCACCTTCCTAAACGTGTCTCAATGTTTTTAACATGAAATCAAATAGATCATGGCTTGGTCCAGCCCGGTACTGTTTACGATTAAAAGGTAAATAGAAATGCTCTTTACATCAATCAGCTGAATACAATGTGTAGGCTATGTTTATAATTATATTAAACTTGCAATCAATAGTATTTTAGCAGTTTTCACGTTTTAGTTTCCCAAAAATAGGATTTGGACTCCTGTGCTTAGCTATCATTACAGGAGCTCTTAAAAATTACAGATACAAAGGAATACGTACTGCCCACCTCTTTACTTATAACGTTAATATAATTTTCTAAGTCAAACTGATATATTCAACTAATGTAAGAGTTTTATTTAATCTGATAATTTCAACTAATGTAATAGTTTTATTTAATCTGCTTGTACATTGTCTGAATTTCTTACTTCATAAAAAACTTATGAAATGTGATTGCTGCGCTTAACTTTCTTTACTGCTATAAAAGCAATCCAAGTTCTAGTGTCTAAGTCAATCCAAAGTGACTTTAGTGAAAATTACTGCTGTGCACTATTTATTACCATGTCAACTTTAGTTTACCTGTGTACATGATGCAATTTTGATGTGACACTGTACATACCCTAATTTAAATTAGAAAAGCAATGTCACATTTTACACTATTAAAAAACGCCTGGACCATAAAAGTAGGCTAAAACCATAACAAGACTTTTAGTTATAACATTTTTCAGTCTGTTTGGTTTCAAAGAGTTAAAATTACTTCTTTGCATTAACATTTCAATTCTTTTACAGGAATATGTAACACAATGGTCCCGCTATAAAACAGTAAGCTGTATATCAGCTATTAGCATGCATGGAAAAAATCAGCTGATCGTGATTGATAAAGGTTCTCCTGCCTCCATTGATGTGTTTGAGATCCTGTTTGTAACGGGTAGTGGCAAATTAGACTTTAGGTAAGTGAAATCTATCTATTCTATATATATAATAGGCTAAGCCGTTTTTTGTTAATCGAACTCCTCCGTTTATATTCGCCCGATTTTGACGTTTGAGGTCTCAAAATAAAGGTTAAAACGTGTAGTTGTGTCCAACGGTATTAGATTTTTGATAAAGTCGTTGGTAAGGGCGTCAAAGGCCCTTAAAGTCAGTTTTTTCTCCATAAGGATAGCATGGGAGATAATTTTTATTTATAAAAACACATGTTTTTAGTTGAAAATAGTCAAAGTCTACTACATTAAAAAAATTGTGTGTAGGGCCTATTATGCCTGTAAATGTATATTAAGTTTAATAATGTTTTGAGTAACTTAAAGTGTACTCATAATGGATCATACTACTTTATTCAGTGGATTGCCAAGACATATATTTTAAACAAGGGGCAGTGGTTTTATTGGTGAGGAATATCAATACACCAAAGGGCCTCAATGGAACAAGGTTACAAGTGAACAAAATAGTTAACAAACAATTTAATTCTGACCAGGGCAATCTTCCTGAAGGTGATTTCACGAATAAAAACTTAGTAAGTTATTCAAGGAAGTTCTTTTGTAAATAAAATAGATATTTTGGGGATATCTTTAAAAGGGTTTATTCAAGAAGCATTTTTATGTTCTTCAAATATGCTATATATTGGTTTTGTTAAAATGTTTTATTAAATGTGTTTTGAAATCTTAAAATAACTATAAAATACTCGACAGCTTTATTAATATACTAAATATAAGACATATACAGCTAGAAAATGGATAGTCTGCTTTCCTTCTAAGTCTTCATTCATTACTGTATTTTATTTTCGACTTAGAGTCAATATATAACACGATGAATAACACGATGAATTTGTTTTCTAATTTGCGGCACGTTGAGCCGCACGGGTTTACTAGTATGATTAGAAATGTCTAAGAATATTAATTATTTTGCCTATATAAGTAATTTTCCATTGTATAATTTTGTACTTGTTTGACTTACAAGTAGTACTATTAGTCATGATAGGTGTAACTGGTAAAGAATACGTACCCATCTTGTTTACTTGCATCCATCAAACTCTGCCAGACGTACACACCCTAAATCTGACTTGAACTCGATTCTACCCCTAAATCTACGATCATGTCTTTTGGCAAGTAAAACAACTTGTTAGCCTGCTTGGCCATTGATCATACTTTTACCGTACTATCACCACTGGACAGCAAAAATATCAAGCAAAAGTAGTGGCAAAAAATTTCATTTATGTTGCAGTTAATGTCAGATACTTTTAGCTGTTATCGTTAAGTTGTACCATATACTTTCTGATTATGAAGTAGCCAGTCCATTTATACGATCTAACTGTAAACTCTTTTTACCAAAATAGAACATAGTTGAGTAAACTTTTCACAGAGTGCTGGCTGTAAAAATTTGGCTTTCTCTTTTACTTATTTGCACATATGTTTTCCTCGTTAAAAGTGTGCTTACGCAACATAAATCAGTTATGGACATTATCGCATGCTATATGGCTCAATTCAACCACTTTACCCTAATCTTCATTCTGAAACTGGCTACGTAACTGATGTGATGTCTATTTTTTGTCTACGGCCATCAAAAGTCGTGAAGGTTGGGTAATTGAGCGGAGCGAGCAAAGCTCTTTTACTACACTCTTGCTTTTGTTTTACAAATACTCCTCCTGAATGTCCTCTCGACATTGAGCTCAAGCATAATAATCAACTATGGGAAGGAAAGGTATGAATCTTAAATGGTACAAATCGGACTACGGGCTTTTTTCCTGCTGAATTTAAACTTTCATAAATTTAACATGGGCCTTACGGGTAAATTGGTTGTCATTAAAAATGTAAACAAAATCACTGTAACATATTTTTACCAACAAATCATCTTAACTAGCACATTAAAAACAGACCAAAAGGGAAAACAATCGGATCAATTCTGTTGAGCCTAATTTACAACAAAATGAATAATCAATTACATTTAAGTGAACCAAATACTGTATATCTTTGACTTTGGATACTGTTAGTAGACATCCCATTTATGTGAACCAGATGTATGTACCATTTTGTAACAAAGCTACATAGATCATCACACATCATTCTACAATCAACCTTCACTCATATTTGGGTTAAAATACACACCTAGGGGCGTTCCCATCTCAATTGGTAATGGTAATGACTTTGGAATAGTATTGTATTAATATGCTTGCTCCGCAGGATATAACAAGCCAACAACTGCATTTTACACCTAGTGTTACTTGATGGGGTTCAAAGGGTTAGTCATATGGTACTGTATTAATAGGTAACGTTGTTTTATTTCACTGTTGCCTATTATTTTGAAATCTGTCTACAACAGGTTAGTGCAGAGTTTCTCAGTGTCAGGAGACTGTAGATCGGTCACTGTATGTAGGGTGGGTCGTCAACACTTCCTAGTTCTGCCACTAAGTCATCATGTTGCTGTGTATCGTCTGGTGTCCGGACACTACCAGCTACACACTGAGCTGTCTCTTCTGAGAGTATCACAGGTTAGTGCAGAGTTTAGTTTTTGGCTTACATAAAATTTGATTAAGTAACTGATGAGTCTCGATTATTCTAACTTTACTTATCCGACCTTCTGTGTTATTTGACCCTCCCTGCAGATGATTAAGTACAGTAGAACCCCAACTAGGCCTATACAAATCAATGGAGACCGCACCACATTCCTACATAAAAAAATTCCGATACTTGAATTTCTATCGCTAATTCCAGCTGAACTTATACTTTTGTGATCGTAGAGCGTGTCTGTAAAGGTTTTGTGATGGAAAAATTCACATACCGTAGCGGTTGTAGAATAACCCATTTGTTGCCTATGTGGCCTTTCTACCCCTGGGAAGATCTTCCTTAATGCAATGGGCTCTTGTAATTGACTGTGCTTGTAGTTTTGGCACCCTGCATACCATATTACAGGGTGTCCACATTCTGGAAAGTCAGGGATAGTCATGGAAAGTCATGGAAAAAAATTTTGGTCATGGAAAGTCAGGGAAATAGGCAAGAAGTCATGGAAAGTCATGGAAATTTCCAATTATGGATGGATTTGAGGGGACCATTCAATGCTCTAGTCAGCTGTAACCCGGACTGTTGTAGCATTTTTCAGGATTTTTCACAAATGTTCGACAATTCAATTTATTACAGTTGTATTATTTTATGAGTTTTCGGTTTGTTTTAGTTTATTGTTGTACCTATTGTACTCCATTGTTATCTGTTATTACATATTTAAGTATTTTCTGCAAAATAACATGTCCAGGCAGTATTATTTGTGTGTGTATGTTATATTATAATTTGCGTGTAAAGTTCGTGAGTCATGGAAATCAATGGTAAATGGTCATGGATAGTCATGGAAAGTCATGGAAATTAATGACAAATTTTTTGTGGACACCCTGTATTAGTCTTAGAACCTGCATGGCTCTCTAAACTTTTGTCACACTTTCGGTGAAGGTGGCATGTGAGCAGGCAGGAGTAGTGCAGCTTATTATTTATAAGTTACTATAGGCCTAGTGATTGCAATCATAAGCTAACTGCTCAAGCTCAACGATTTTTTCACCTGGTGCTAGATCCTTGAGTTTGTAGGCTAGGCTCAGTTTGGCTGTCGCATACCTCTACTTCAAATTCACCCAGAGGGAAATGGATACATTATCATAAATTACCAAACACATTACTGTGTAACTAGCCGCTATAACTGTGCTTTGCTACGGGGATATGATGAAATGAATTCTTCTTTATTGAGGCAGACATCATGGTCCTTTCTTAAAACTAACAATAACATAAAATTAACAAAAGTAAATACAACAAAGTTTATAATAAAACAAATAACTTAGCACAAATATCATAATATGAATTTCTTTTCCCTAACATACATAGTCAAAGGAACATACTGTACATCATGTGCTGCACCCAAAGACCTAATGTATGCTATCCCGCCAAGCCACGGCCATCCGGTTAACATAATATTCCTTCAGCGCCACCATCAGTCGGGCTCTGTTTTCTATGGATTAAATGGGATAAGGTACGGAGTTCCATTGGTGGGATGCGGTTACGACAAATGATTTATTATACACAGTCTACCTGTGATCGGGAATGTGCAGCACAGATAAGCCTGAGTGGGTATTCCTTGCGCCTCTTTTACGCAAAAATATAAAATTTTAAATATGATGTGTAAGAGAAAATGCTTGTTTACTAAGTCATGTCAATGTAAAACCTAAAAAAATATAGTGCTGTAATCTTTAGTAATACCATGTAACTGTTTAATGCTATTGCACATCTTCGAATCATGTTGGATGTTTGTTGAAACAGCTTTTTAAACATGAATACCCATAAGGTAAACATAAGAAACTCCAGAATCACTGGAGTGGAGCCCAAAAAGATTTTTGAGATAAGAATAGCCCTATATGTTAATGGAGAATCTGAGCTGTGCCTCTAAGATTACTTATTAACACTACAGCGATGTACTAATTTTCTTGCAACTATTTTGGCTAATAATAATCAAGTCACTGGACCACAGTATCTAAATGTCTAAAATGTTTACTCAATATTTATGTTCCATTATGATACCTATTAACTTTGTAATACTACCTTCTTCTGCAGGTGGTATGTTTCAATGTTGCACTGCAGACATACTTAGCAATCAATGGAGAGACACCCCATGTGATCAGGATAACGGAAAGGGGAGAGTTCATCTCAGAATTGATGCCTGGTGAGATTTCCATTGCTTAGAGAAGTGATCAGATTATATAGAGAACCAAACAAAATGAATTATGGAGTTAAATTTTATTTTTATGCAGTTGCAGGTTAATATAAAATGAAATCCTTCTTGTTTTCAATACCAGCTACCCGCTTTAGACTCCAAAAAACTCTTTTAACTTCCTCTTTTAACTCCTCTCCCAGTAGACTCCCTCTTATCCGGACACCTTTTAAACGGACTACACTCGGCGGAAATGACATCTCTTTAACCGGACAATTTTCATTAGCACATCGGTTTAACCGGACTAGATTGGCAGGTAGTGGGTGGTACTGAAACGACTGTTTTCGTGGGAAAGATTTGAGACCAGTGATCACATGTCTAAATTACAATGCTCTCCTAAATTTAGGTCAAATACTGTTTACAGTATGCATTCAAAGGGTCCGTTTTAACAAGTTTTTGGGGATGTCGGGGAAACCGTTATCCAGATTGGCCTCGGTCCCGAGGAGTCCGGATAAGAGGGAGTTTACTGTAATTGTAATTATTACACATTGAGGATGGATTTGAGAATATGAAAAATCTTACTAGAGCTCATTACAATGGTCTTAAAAAGCCAAGCTTAACAAAATAATTCCATGCCTTCTCTGATTGTATCTTTTCAACTTGATGCTTTCAAATAGACTGGTTAAGGTTTAACTTTAAATCAGTTTTGTTTACATTCTGTGGTAGCTGTAAATTCAAAGTTGCTATTTGCTACTTAGGGAATCAGTGTGGATATTTTACAAGGTAAAACGTCATGAAACTATTTTTACTCAAGAATTACTCAGGGTGGAAACTGTTAGCAGGACCTTAAATAACGTTTGACCGGTTTTATGGATCAATATGATTTTTCCATGAGTCAATGTGGGGTGTCTTTTTCAATTTCTCTTAAAAAATCTACATCCTTTATCAGATCAGATATATTTATTGCTTACAGTCATGTTTTTACTATGAAAACCTGCAATGTATTGTTCCTACCAATATTGTATTAATTTAAGGAATGTGTATAAATAAATAAATAGCCTTGTATAGTCCATGAAACTGTTAATTTATTTTATGTTTTGTCTTTGTGCCATCTTTGCTATTTCCATTTAATCAGTTCTGATAAGAGGTATAATCAATATCAATAATAATGTCTAGGTTTTGTGAGTGAATGGCTGGTTTTGCCGGTGTCTTCGTACCGCAGTGATGTTCTACTCTTGAGCAAGTCTGCCAACATAACAACAGCTTACGTCTGGGCAGGCGCTAACAGGGGATTCAACACTGTCTCGATACCTAACTGTAATTATCATATTGACATTATTTTTTTTTAGTGCCTCATACGTCTTTGTTTTGCGCATAGTTTAGGTTCAACTTTTCAATTCTTTCCAGTTAATATTTTTCATGTAAAAAAGACATTATTTTGAAATTTCAATTCTAATATATTAATTTTCTAGGCAGCAGTGTGGTTACAGTGCTAGGCTTCAAACATGAGAAATGCTGATTGGATAAAGATATCATAAAATTGCCAGCAGCACTAAAAACACAAACACAATTATTAACAAAATAGTAGGTTATTGTAAATTTAAATTATTTTACTGAAGTAGCTCACCTCCCTTATATGATCCATGTTGTGTTATATGAATTCCTTGATTTAAATGTTCCATACTCAGGCCTATGAGACCCATGTGGGTAGGTAAAAACAAGGTTTAAAGAGGCTGCCAACCTCTTGAATAAAACTATACTTAGCCAAATAAATTTGAGGTTAGTTTTTAGGAGAAAGAGTGTTTGGCATAGGAATACATTATAAAAGGAATATACACACAACTAATTTATCCTAGAAAAGAATTTCAGGTAGTTGACAACACACGAAATTCACAGCATTATTCATTGGATATTTTGCCCCTGAAGGATTTAGTGTAAGAAATCGTAGCTGGGTGGCCACAGACAGAGAAAACCGGTAACTATAGGAAAACATGATTAGAAACCGCACTCAAGCAAAATTGAGAACTTCCTCTGCGAGCACAGAAAAATCTAGTGCGGCCACAGTGAAATCTTGTACATCTTTTACGGTCATGGCAAAATCGTGATTCATCTTCCAATTTCATGGTAAGTAAGTTAATGTATTTCTCGTTCACAGCAAAATTGAGAACGAACATCTTCGACAGTCACGGCAAAATCATAAACGTCTTTTCCCGTCACCAAAATCAAGAACATCTCTGTAAGTAGTAGGAAAAGTCTTTCTGAGGAAGCCTCCATGTAGGGGCAAAATATAAAATTTTGTAGTGAATTGTGTTTGTGTTGTCAAATTCTGGAACTCTTTTCTTGGGTGAATTGATTGTGTATACATTATTTCTTCCTTTAATATGTTTGTTCAGTTTGAATATTTGTTTCATTGTAAACCACAGGTGACGGGTGTCTGGAAGGAGATTGGGCTGGAGCTGTTTCAGTTCCATTTCAGCGGCAGAACTGTCTTCTGATACCTCGCGTTGAAAACTTCTCTAATCTTGTGGCTGTAGGGACATCACTGATCAGCAACAATCCCATCATGGATAAATTAAGAGCAACGGTCAACAAGATGAATAAAATTCAGGTATTACCATCTTTCTACGTAAAGTCCCAAAAATTCAGCACCCAATAACCTGACTGTTTGGATTTCACGAGAACATGTAAAGAGTTTGTACAAAAGGTGCACATAATTCTACGCTGGTTTATTTACGAATTATGACCCTATAACATACCCTAATAAATTAACTATATAATTGGAATCATACAATAGTCCAACATACCTGACAACTGGTGTGCTTTTCAGTCAGTGCCACAACCATGAAATGAAATAAATAACAACAGTAACAACTTCTGTGTGGCTGTTCTGTATACAGGGTGATTTGTACTCAGTGTGACAAAATTTTTTTGGTGTAAGTACAAAGTAAATGAAGTGTGATGATGCATATCAAATGTTCCAAGTCTCAAAATTAGCGTCCCAAAAAATTATTTTATGTTTATCAAAAATAACCATGCTTTTAAACTTAATACAGCGATTTCTCAATTACCTGTATATGGATTTGAGTAGATAATGTCATTTTCGTGTTCTACATTAAATTTTGAACAAGAATAATGGAAAATTATGGAGGATCAGTTGTAAAAACTCCATTGTAAATAGATTCAAAGATAAAAATTAAGACATTTGATAAAAATTTAAAAAACAATGGTCTATTGCATTTTTCACACCCTGTATAAAAGAAAGTGTCGGAATATGTTAAAAACTGCGCCATTTTATAAGCTTTCCAACCATGTGCTACACTATTGAGGTTTAGATATTTTTTTGTTTGTAAGAGTGGTTTGAATACCAGAAAACAGGGAACTTTTTACTGTTCAACCTGAATCAAAAATACAACTTTTGCTTAATACATGCCGACTTTCTATGTTTTAAATGTTAAATACACCATGCTTTGCAGTCTTCAAACAATTAAAGCGTATATAAGCAGACATAAACCTCAATAGTGTAGCATATCGTTGGAAAGCTTATAAAATGGTGCAGTTTTTATCATATTCCGACACTTTCTTGTGTACAGGGTGTGAAAAATGCAATAGACCATTGTTTTTAAAATTTTTATCAAACATCTTAATTTTTATCTTTGAATCTATTTACAATGGAGTTTTTACGACTGATCCTCCGTCTTTTTCTACCATTCTTATTCAAAATTTAATGTAGAACACGAAAATGACATTATCTACTCAAATCCATATACAGGTAATTGATAAATCGCTGTATTAAGTTTAAAAACATGGTTATTTTTGAAAAGCATAAAATAATTTTTTGGGACGCTAATTTTGAGACTTGGAACATTTGATATGCATCATCACACTTCATTTACTTTGTACTTACACCAAAAAAATTTTGTCACACTAAGTACAAATCACCCTGTATATAAATGTTTAGGTTTAGACTGTATAATATCTATTTAGTATTTACTAGAGGTCGTCCAGTGGTTGAAAACTCAACCAAAAATATGTAATGTACAGACTTCTCTATTTTCACCCCAAGCTGTAAATAAAACATATGATTGGAATTTCTTCCATTTGTTTTGATTTTCTGTTCATATTTCGTCACCAGCATAGCAACCCATAAGGCCCATGTTATTTAAAAAAATATTAACAAAATAGTTAACAAAAAACGTGGGGTGCATGCAATTGATAATAATACATTAGTTCAATAGGTGAAGGTAGTTGTAAATTATGTATTGCAGCATGTACCCCACGTTTTTCGTTTTAAATCTTACAAGTGTTTATGCTATACTCTCCACATATTTATACACTATTTTCTACTTTTTAGTGCGTTTAAAAACGTTTTGTTTTAAAAAAAGTTTTTTATTTATAAATTATTTTGCCTATTTTAATTAATAAAGGGATTCTGCACATCTACAGAAAAGTATCTTTCTAACAGTATGCATAGATTTTCTCTGCTATGCACACAAGCTGAGAAAAAAGGTTTTAAAGAAACATGCTTGCCTATTAATATATAGATTGTCTATTAAATATTGATTTAATTTATTTATTGCCAGCTATCAACTCTCAGTTGAATATCTTTGGCCAAGTAGTTTGTGTTAATTCATTAAATCTTAAATTAATTAATACTAGTGTACCTGTTGCTCGAATTCGAGCAAATACAAAGTACTACTGGCGTTATTTCAAAATGGTAATAATTTCCGATAGCCTAACTTTAAAAGAGTTGACTCAAAGATTATGGAAATACTTACGATGTACATGATAGTTCGATATAATAGGCCTAAACATTTCTTGTAAATATCTTATCATTTTTGAAAAACTGATATTGTGTTTGTGTTTTCTACGAATCTTTCCCACTCATAGCCGCATTAGGTTTTCCATAATAACGATTATAAATTCTTCAAAAAAATATATTATTTCTATTTCTTCTACTTGGTGGTGTTCTATGACTTTTGTTTCCATAGTTTGCAAATCGGCTCTTTCAATTATTGCTCAAGAAGTGCAGCACAGTGATAATTCAGTTTTCTTTTTAGTAGGTATATCAAATTGTCCAAGCTTTCTCACTTTTTCCATTGTAGTATTTATGCCAACCCAAATTCACATTTCAATGGTCATTACCAAACAAAAGTCATTACCAACCAGCTCACTCACATCAATAATCAGTCTTTTCAAGTCAGTAAATGTTTGTAGCACACGTTTCCTTAAATTGCAACTAAAACATCAACAGCAATTAAATTATCCAGCTTATCATAATGTAAACAAATATGTTCTTTATAAGGAAAACATGGGAACTTTAAAAGCCACTGAGGCAGAGCCCAAGGGAGTTTTTTCAAAAATGTAAGGTTAGTTTGCAAATCTACACAATAAGACGAACATTTTGGTTTATAATATGTGGGGTTAAATCTTAAGACATAAAAGCCTTATTGTTCACAATGTTTCATGTAGCGTATAGATATATTAAAAAGTCCTGTTAAACAGCAACCAACAACATCAACATTATACCAATCATGAAAGTGACCACAGGTTCATTAGTACACAGGAGCATCAGCATATTATTACATATTCAAATTATTTAGGTCATTATTACTGGAATTATTTGTTGGTTGAATTCAAACAAATTCTAATTCACCAAGCGTTTACTAAGCCAAAGTTTGCTGATTCACCTGGGTTGTGGAGTTTAGCTATCCTGTGTGGTAAAGCTGGCAAAGGGCAATAGTTGGTATGGACTAACAAATTTGAGTAGTGAACATTTTAGTCTGACTCTTCTAAACATTTAAACTTAACGAATATTTAATATTTTCTTCAGGATGAATGGCAACAAATAAAATCAAAGATTGAGGAGGTTGAGGAAACCTTGCATTTTGTTGTGAAAAAGAAAGGAGTCAACGTGATAACTGGAAAATGGACTGTGGGCAGACTGGAGGGTCCAAGTGTAAAGTATAACTCAATGATCAAACCACAAAATGAGACCGAAATGTCCCAAGAGACAACAGAAACTGAGGGACTGCTACAATTGGGATCACTCGAGAACTCTGTGAAAAACTTAATCGCTGAGGTAAAATATAAATTCATGCTTAGTTGATAATTTGTTATACAAATTTATTTGCCGTTATAAACTTAAATAGAGTCCTTCTAAACCAAACTAATCGGTATTGAATCCTGTTTTGGATGAACAAAATTCAGTAATAAAGTTCTTATTCTTATTCTTATGCATATAAATCCTTAGAAAATAAAAGTGTAAGTTAATGGCTTAAGTATACTGTAAAATATTACACAACATAATACTGACTGATATTGGACTTGGATTTTCTCGGGTAAGTTAAATATTATGATCTAACAACTCATTATTATGTCGTGACCCAATAGGGAAGTGAAGTGATCCAAGCTGTAGAAGAAAGAGAGAATCAAGCTTGGGGTCTTAGTGGTTTCAAGGGAAAGGTGAATTTCAAGGGGAAGTTGAGTATCAACAATCTTACCATTACTCATCTCAATGGCGAACATATGGATCAACTACTACACAATACGTTCAGGTAAACCTATATATAATCACAAGATAATTTACATTCTTTAATTTACTTCATAAGAAAGTATTAAAGTAGTAAAGTATTAAAGTAAGTAAGTACTTTAACAATTTAGGTCCGTAAATGGTGATTTATTGCCTGAAGAAAGGAATATAACCATACCTTCAATTACAACTATATGTAGCTCAAGGTAACCATAAAACAGTTAAAAGCTGTACCTACCGAACTTTTGCTGCGGCCTTGCAGTCAAGCTTAAATCTACTACACGTTAGCTTTGGATTTTCCTGGATTGTCATATCACTTTATGGGGATGCAACTAGGGGTTATTCAACCCAAATATGAATGAAAGATAAGTGTGTCAAGCTATCAAATAAGCCCTCAAGTAGTCAAGTAGTTAAGCTATCAAATAAGTTCAAGAGTCAATGATTAAAAAACGCTGTCAAATTTTCTATTTTTTCTCAAAACCCATTACAGTATTTAATTTTCTTATGCAGGAAAGACAAACCGAGTCCAATACAGCATCAGGTGATTGTGGAATCACTCAAGACAGAAGATATTTTCATCAATAGAATAAACAACTTGACAAGAGAGGACCTCAAGTTCGCCGACGGACCTGTGGTGATAAGAGGCAATGTTACACTAAGCAAGCCACTGACTGTGAGAGGGGAGGTGGAGTTAGAAGATGGGGGGAGAGTTAACGGAGTTGATCTGTCAGAGGAGTTTTGTAAAGGGCAAGAAAAATGCACAGGTAAACAGCCAAGTGCTTGGGTAAAGTCTTAACTTAATGTTATGAAATTTTATTTCCTAAATTGATTTACCACAGTTTTGGTATTCCTACTTTAATATATTTTGTCCTCCTTTTGATTTCTTAAAATCAAAGTAGCCTAAATTGATTTATTTGTGGATAAAAACTAAAAAAACTTGGATAAATTATGTTTTTAGTCTTTCCAATGGTGTACTTGGATGAAGAAGAAGTGAGAAATGGGGATTTGAACAACAATATTGACAAAGGTCCAGCTGACAGTATAAGTGATCATGTGTGGAGCAAAACCCTAGCGGGCAAAAACCTAACAGTAGTCAAAATCAATGGAGTAGACTGGAAAACACTCACGGATAATGTTGTCTACAAGGATAAATATCAACATATAAACGGAACTGTTGATGTTAAAGGGGTAAGTGGCCGTTGGATTTGATTTTATCCTTATTATTTTTAAACTATCACATCCTTTTCAGGATTTTTGTTAGGATAGCAGGCTCTTCTAAATCGAAAAGAGTCGACTACGACACAAAAATCTCAACAAACTTTTTTTCTTTTAGCGAATTTCCCTATAGGGAAGTAGCTATTACCGTAGGTCTCATGGTAAGACCTAAGCCCGGGACCGATTTACTTTTTCATTTTGATGTCCCCAGAGGCCAAAAACACCATTCGTTCAAATTTTTATATATCTATATATAGAGAGATATATATATATATATATATATATATATGTGTCCATCCGCACGATAACTTGAGTAATTTTTGTCCGATTTTGATGAAATTCGGTTTGAAGGTGTAAGGCGGGATAAACTTGAATGAGTTCGCGAACCAGCATGATCGGACTATGGGAACGGGGGTTTATGGGGGGTTTTATGGGGTAAAAATAGGTTTTTCCCTTTTTTGACCCTAAAAACACAAAATTTCACAATTTCTTTTTAAACCATTTTGTAGAGCTTAAAAAAACAAATAATTTAGTATATTGAAGCGTTATTATGCGCCTAATTGTTACGGAGAAAATTCAAAAAAATTGTAATTTTAAAATTCTCATGTTATTCTTATGGAGAATAAGTCAACTGTTGTAGTTTGCTTGTTTATGAACATATTTTGATCAAATTTGGAAAATACATTAATTTCTTACTAAACCACAGTACCTTTTAACATTTTACATAAAAAAAAACATTTTACCCTCCCTGTTGCAGCAAACCTAAGTACTCATTGAACTACAGTAATTCTGTTTAAACTTGGAATAGGCTAAATGTGATATTTTTAAGGAGACATTTTAGTTTAAATCCAATCAGGCAAATGGAAATTCGCTATGTCTGCAGGTTTGCTGCGGCGGGGGTATTTTTTTTACATATCATTTTACACCATGCTGCAAAAGCCTGACATGGCTTGTCTGCAGCTCATTAAACTAAAGGAAATCAAGTCCAAACTCTTATCACTTCCATCAGTCAGTGTGTGTGTCCTCCTTATCTCTCTAGCCTGTTATCACAAACATCTTGAAGTCCCAAAACTCTTTACAATTACTTTTAGGATATTTCACTGTCAATTTAACATATAGAATTTTGAACTGCAGTAAGTTATGAGTTGATAAAAACAGAAAAGACATATCTCAAAAAACAGAGTTCAAAAAACAGTTCAAACAGTAAAATGTGTAAATACTAGCAATACTGTCAACAACATCCTTGCCACGATTGGATCTGAAGACATCTCTCTTCCCAACTCAAACCTTGGTTGTAAATGCTGTTAGTGTCATTGGAATATTCAAAATTTTGTGTCTAACCTAAAGTAACACTTTTACTGTGTGTTACTTATGCTTTTGTCTACTCTTTTCCATTTTGGATAAGCCTGCTATCTTAAAAATAAATCCTTAATGTCATTGTAGAGGCAACATCATCGTCACCCGCCATTCCTACTAAATTAAGAATATCTCCCGTGGTCGTTGAAACATCATCGTCATCACTCTTAATTGCCAATAGTTGGAACAAATCACGTCCCAAAAAAAACCTGGATTAAATCTAAATCCACCCGATGATAGGGAATTCATATTTCCTGAAGTTTCGTAACTCGCCCATCCCTATCAATAGTACTCAAAGGATAAGATTAAGCTAAAGACTATATGCTGGAAATCAAGTGCCAATGTTTGCTAACTCGTAGATCGTCTTGACTCAATATTATATCTGACATTGGTTGATATTCCAGAGGGTGACATCAGACCCTGCTGTATGGTCTGACAGGTTCCAGTCTCTGCACAAGTCTCAGTCTAGAGCCTCTGACTCCTCCAGGTCTTCTCCCATTGTAGAAGCTCCTGCACCACCTGCTTCTGACGAAGGAAAGGTAAAATACTTAAATTTAATCCATTTCAACCATTCCCCATTTCACCTGTCAAATGGTAAAAAAAATTAAGTTATATGTTGTAAGTTAGTATCTCTTGATAGCCAACGTATCAGCCTTCAAGGCTTAATAGGTTGGTAGATAATATATTTTACCGTACTAGTTTTGTCTATGGTTAAATTTTACATGTTTTGTTACAAGGACAAAAATTGTATTATAGATTTGTTGTGGCTGTGACAACTGAAATAGCACTTGCTCCTACAGTTGCACATGGGTAATTTTCTATTTGAGATTATCAGACTAGCATCGCTTTCCTTAGAAATAAAGTTCTACCTTATTGTTTATTTTAAAATAGTTCTTGAACCATTTTGTGACAGTGCAAATAGTTATAGTGCGTGCTTGAAAATTTTTTCTTCTGTTGAATCTTTTTTTGTTAGATAATCTTATAAAAAGATAGGGCATTTGCCAGGAATTATTAACCCTCCGAGTGTCACGTGTTTTGGCCTTAATGTCAGCCTATTTTTTGCTCATTTGCAAGGTTTTATTAAAACTGATCTGAGAAGCTTAAAAACAATGTTAATTATACTGTTCTATATACCATTTTGTTTGGAAAATCTTGGGCTTCAATATTATATATAAAACATAAGGAAGATTTAAAAAAAAAAATTTTTTTTAGGTAAAAAAATGTATAATTTCGAAAATTTTCAAAAAAAAATAAGTTTGCGCTCAATGAAATTGTATAAATTATAGGCCTATAAATATTTGAAAATAGCCACTTTGTTCTAAATTTTATGAGGATTACAAATCTATAATAATATAAGGAAGTAGATTTGCAAATAAAAAAGTTATGGGCAAAAAACAGATTTCAGTACATAGCGTTTAGCTAAGAATGCATAGCCCAACCATAGCTAGGAATCTGGCTGATAATTTACATCAATATCACTACCTACTTCTTCAGGATCATCAACCAGCACTTCAAAACCACTTAAATCTTCTTATAATGCACCACGTATATCACTACTTTTGATTTTTAACACTAAAACAATGATAAACGTAATAAAACACATCAGTCATCGGTCCGAGGGTAACCTAGCTGTTTACAAATACACGCACGTCAGCTCAGTCAGCTGTCTGCTACAATATTTTCGGAACTAAAATGAATAGTGCTTAGAGACAGACCTCTGGAGAAAGCTTAGAATATTACGGACAGAACGATACCTAACTCAATCCAGTACAGTCCGATTCAGTTAGTTATAGAGCCTTCGCCGTAAACAGTGTTCGCGAGTCGCTGCAGCGACGCACGACACTATACAAAGTGCGTTACGCGTCGCTGCAGCGACGCATGACACTCGGAGGGTTAAGGAAATTGACAGGAAAGCAGGCTTACCTTTAAATAAGTCCATAGAGACACATAACACATCACAAAATTAAAAGTAGAAATTTTCGTGGTCACTGACCACTTTTTCAGTGGCTGAAAAACCGTCTCCATAACCATCTCCAGTGGTTGAAAAAGTGGTCAGTGACCACGAAAATTTCTACTTTTAATTTTGTGATGTGTTATGTGTCTCTATGGACTTATTTAAAGGTAAGCCTGCTTTTTTGTTAGATAACCTCGTTGTTTCAACAATCCATGTATGAGGCAGACTACAACTCAATTCAGTTGAATTGTGGTCTGCTGTGAAATTGATTGCTGTAACACATCCGAAACGTAAGTTACTATTTTTCCAATTCAACATAATTCAAAGACCAAGATTGGACAGTACTGTGACCCAGGACTACAAACATAGAAGGGCTAGCCCAGTCCTTTGAAGTGAACACCTGGGTGTTATTATGATTCTCCTTAGGTTTACCAAAAGTTTCTACTTTTATTATCAACAATTTTTTTCAGATTTTAGATGAACTGGCGTCAGGCTCCACTCTGATTGTGTCAGAACTAGAAGTGACCGGAAGTGTAACAGTGGTGGAGAGTGAGTGGGGTGTACAAGCAGCTGACGTGGTGCTCAGTGATGCCAACCCTATTGTGATAGAGGGGGCTAAGACTTTCACTGGTGCTGTCAATGTTACCAACAACGCAGAGGTGGAAGGCACTGTCGGTGGTGTCGTGTTGTCACACCTGTTTACAAAAGATACCAAGCAGGTGCTTACAGGTTGGTATTTTGTGAAAAATTTACAAAATCTAAACGCTTTTATCTGGCTATTAACATTTTTCCTGACCAAAACTACTTCAAGGGCATAGAAGAGAAGTAGTTTTGGAATTTTTAATTTTCAAGATTTATGAAACATATCCTTTTGAGTTGTTACATTTTAAGTAATGGGAGGTTTCTTAAGTCACATAATTTGAGGTATTATCGATATTTATTCGAGAAAGGAAGGGAAACTCGGATAGAATAAGACTCTCTGGACATTTTATGAAGAAGTGTAAAGAGGAAGACCAATGGAAGCCAATGAAGAAGACACTCAGGATAGGAAGAAGTGGAGACAGATACTGTAGTTGGTGAGAGGATTACGTAACTTCAGTTCATGCAATTTTACTTCAAATACATCAACTATTATCAATTATTCTTAACTTTGATTACTTTATAACTCAGGCTACAAAAATACAAATATTTTAGTTTAAATGGTCAGTAACGAGTATAAGCAATTAAAGAATGAATTTATTGGTTATTTTTATTGAATGATTGCTTTGCTACTTGCTATTTTACAGGCCCTACAACATTACAAGGAGACATAACAGTTGACAACCTCACTTTGACTGGTCTATGGAACGGAAAGACCTTATCTGACCTTGAGAAAGACAAATCTGAGAGTTTTATAACAGCAGCTGATACCATCAACGTGTTAGAAACCATCAACCAAGTCCCGGTGTCTGATTTTGTCTTCACTGGAGATGATGGTGTTGCCGTGATAAAAAGTGGTAGTGTCGAGCAGCTGATGGTTACTGAGAACATTGTTGTTGGTGGAAAGGTAAAGTACAAATGAGAAAATGTATGCTGCCATATTAAGAAAACACTAAACACTAAGAACTATTTGATATCATAACAACAGTTTGAAGCCGTGGCAATGTCGTCATCATCTCCCACAATCATGTTAACATTTTAGATCTAAAACGATCTTAGATGATGGTAACATTTGAGATTTTTACTTTAGATTGTGTCTTGGAGTCATGATGACATGCACAATCAATTTCCTTATGTAATTATATTTGTATATTTTAAGTTTATCTGATAAAAAGATAGTGCATTTGCCAGAGATTATTAAGGAAATTGACAGGAAAGAAGGCTTACCTTTAAACAAGTCCATAGAGACACATAAAATATGCAACACAAAAGTAGAAATTTTCGTGGTCACTGACCACTTTTTCTCCAGTGGTTAAAGAAAGTTTCTACTTTTATGTTGTATATTTTATGTGTCTATGGACTTATTTAAAGGTAAGCATGTTTTCCTGTCAATTTCCTTAATATATTTGTATTTTAAGTTTCCAACTCAAAAAAGTCTCAAAAATATTCATATCCCGCACATTATGTGAATGAAAATTTTCTAAAAGGTTTTGTGTCTTTCACGTTTATATTTAGATTCTATTTAGTTTACTATCTTAAACAACCATAATGTATTCCAGGCCAGGCCTACTACTGTATTTGTTTTGGATTGTCTGTATTTGTTAGGGGGGGGGGGGTCAGGGTAGTGGACGACACTCCCACCAGTGTTTCCATACATGGGATTATTATCCCGAAAACAGGGATTTTAGACCATGAGCGGAATTAAAACGGGTTGCGGGATAAAACAAAATTGTCGGCTCTGACGTCTTTTTTTATTCAAGTATAGGAAAAATATAATAGCAATGTTTAAACTTTAAACAACTTTTAAAACATGATGAAAAGCGGAACGCTTTTGTATAATTAAAAATCCCAATTTATCTGGCGTGATTTTTTTCATTCCATTCCGAGTGTTATATTTGACACAAGGGGATTTTCTCGACCCAGTAAGCGAGATAATTGTTTTGGTCGTGTTTTTTTTTTTTTATCGTAGATCTTATTATTTTGATTGATTAGATGTAAGATATTCATTTGCTGTATTATTAACAGTGTTATGTATTTTGTGACGATTGTAAAATGTCTAGAACAATAAATGTATTTGATTTGGATACACTTGCTCTTACTGGTTGGTGGGTTTTGAATATAGGAACATTACACTCCGCCAGTCGGCTTTATTCCATAACTATTGAATTTGCAATAGCAACATTGAAATTTGAAATATTGTGAAATATTTACAACACTGAATTACTTGAATTAACATATTCTATACCATACCAAATAATTAGTATTAGTAAGTTACTTAATGCTACATTTTGTATCCCATTCATGTTAGGGGTGTGCGAATAGATTTTTTTCAGATTTTGAATCTAATACTTCATAATATTTTCAATAAATGCAACCAATACAGAAATTTATAATACAGAAGCATGAAATGTTGGGATGAAATAAAACAACACAAAACCATGATTTATTTGGTTGAAGTTACAGATTATTACAGGGAGCGGCAAAATGATCTGACGGTTTTCTTTGCCGCCCTGTTGAGCGAGTGAGTGGTGGAGGGTGGTGGGAACAGGGGCGTTACAAAGCCTACGTGCGAACATTTTTAGTAGCCATGGACCTAGGGACAGCTGAGCACCATGCATTTGTAGTGGAAGTGTTTTTTAAAAGTGACAATTCCTGTGTAGCTGTTCAGCTGCAGTTACGTAGACGTTTCAATGTGGGCCCAAGGGGAAAAGTCCCAACTCAAAACACCATTTTGCTGTGGGTGGGTAACTTCAGAGCTACTAGTTCAACATTGAAAAAAAGTCCAACAGGTCCAAGGTCAGCCCGGACGCCAGAGAACATCGAGAGAGTGAGAGAAGGAAGCTGCAGCTCTGCACATGTCTGGTCGCTCGGTATGAGTACGGCACGACCCGCACTTTCATTCATACAAAATGGCAATCGTGCAGCAGTTGAAGCACAGTGGTTACATAAAGCGCATCTCATTTTTAGAACAAGTGATTGATTTACTTACACGTGACAAAATAGTCATTATGAGCGACGAATCGCACTTTCAACCACACCACACGGCCTTCCTCACTCTCTTGACGTTCTCTGGCGTCCGGACTGACCTTGGATGGCCTGTTGATTTTAGTTTCAATGCTGAACTAGTAGCTCTAAAGCTACCCACCCGGCCACCCACAGCAAAATGGTGTTTTGAGTTGGGACTTTTCTTCTTTGACCCACATTGAAATGCCTCCTGAGCAGCTACACAAGAATTGTCACTTTTAAAAACACTTTTACTACAAATGCATGGTGCTCAGCTGTCCCTAGGTCCATGGCTACTAAAAATGTTCGCACGTAGGCTTTGTAACGCCCCTATTCCCACCACCCTCCGCCAATCACTCGTTTAACACGGCGGCAAAGAAAACCGTCAGATCATTTTGCCGCTCCCTGTACTAGGTATCTAGGTTTATTTACTATTCAAATGTTCGAATATACTCATTAAGATCAAACCGGAATCGAATACTAAAGTATTTGTTCAACTATTTGAATATTCACACACCCCTAATTCATGTACTATTTGTGATTTAGCATGTACTTATACCTATTCAATTTCTATTTTCCATCTTTCAGGTTTGTGGAGTAAGCTTAGATGATTTTAATGAAAGACGGCTGAGCTTATCAAAAGAACAGAATATTACAGGAAATGTTGTAATAGCAGAAGCCAAAGTTACTGCTGACTTTCAAGCTGAAAATCTCAGTCTTATGGGAAATCCTTTGCTTACCGAGGATGTTGAGTCGGAAATTGTGGATGGATTGCACTTTTCAGGTAAGAGTTACAGGAGTTATTTAAACAGTCATTCATGTAAATTGTTATACTGGTTATGACAGTAAAATTCTGCAGTAGTACTTTTTTCTATTGATTAGTTTTAAAATCTTATTTAATATGATTGAATGTATATTTATATCTAACTCGAGGTCGTACAGTGGTCCAAACTCAACCAAAAATATGCAATGTACAGACTTCTCTATTTTCACAATCACGCCACACTGTGAATAAAACATGTGATTGGAGTTTCTTCTTCCATTTGTTTTTATTTTCTGTTTAATTTTGTTGTTATTTTGTCACCAGCATGGCAACCCATAGGATCCATGTTAATTTTTTAAAATTTTAAACTCATTTTCTGTGCTTATTTTTGAGCCTATTTTAATTTATAAAGGCATTCTGCACATCTACAGGAAAATATCTTTTCAACAGTATTCGTAGATTTTCCCTGCGATGCACACGAGCTGAGAAAAAAGGTTTTAAAGAAACATGCTTGCCTATTAATATATGGATTAAAATTCAAAATATGTTTGTTAGTCAACCTTAACAGTACTTATTTCAAAGTTTTGTGTACCTAACTGATTCCCACACATATCTAGGCACTCAGTTGTTGTATAGATCTATCAAATAAGGAAATCATGCTGGTCATGATAAGCTTTTAAACTGGAACCAAAGTTTTTTCAATATTTATTTTTATCTTTTTTGTTTAGTCTGCAAAATTTTTCAATCAATATTGATCTGTCGAGTTTGAGATTACTATTGGGTGACTTTGATTTCTATATGACCATTTTCAAACAAGAAACTTGCTTCAAACTTTGTATGTTTTTATTTTTTAACATACTTTCATGTGAACAGTCCAAACCCAGACCTTTTCTTAGATATCAACATTCTTTAGACAGTCTGATGGCAAATGATATCTAAGTCTCTATTTTTTTCGTAGAGCTGCATGTGAATGGAGACATTATAACATATGAAGGTGTTAACGGCTTCAATCTATCAGAGGTAGCTGCAAACGCTGTGTGGCTCGAGGATAATAATGAAATCGAAGGTCCTCTCATTTTCAAGGTGAGATTTTGTTCACTAGAACCAAGTGAAATATTGGATATTGAACCCAATCCTTACCAAAATTATAAAGTGTAATTCTATCATAGTAAATTGGAAATAAGTTTGAATATCATAGGAATGTGTTATTCACAATTTTTATAAAGATATTTTGGTAAACACTCAGGTTATTTGTAAATTAAAAGGTATAATGTGATTTCACTGCAAATGTTTTTGACAACAACTCGCCATCTAAAATAGTTTAACCTGGTTATCTAAAGGGGCAGATGTGAAAGCAAAATAAGCAACCCCAATTTGAACCAGATAAATTTTATATTAACTCTGAAATTACGATTTTCAGGATGGAGTGGAATTTAAAATCCTGGAAGGCCAAGGAATGTGCAATGACATGGTGTGTGAAGATTGGCTACGCATTGATGATGTGGTTTATAAACACAACGACTCTGTTACTTTCACAGGTAACTGAATTAAACGTTTTCTGTGTTAAAAAAACACAAAATCTACTATTTAAATAGATATTCAAGACATTTTATGGAATTATCAAAGAATATTTCAATAAAATGCATTTGAATTGAATTGCATATATTGGCTAAACAGTTGACGGACACAGTCGTGGTTCTTAATTGATTACAAATAAAATAAATTCGGGGGATTGTAATGTTGTAATTTAATATTAGATGCCTGTTCAACCTATTTAGTGTATTCCTATCTTTTAATGAAATCAGCATTAAATTAATAAACAAAAATAATTCTTAATAATACTTTAACACAAAGGTATAAAAAACTCAAACGTGGATAACAAATTTGTTTTTTTAATTATAAACTATGGCAGAAAAAAGTTTGGAACAATTTAGTTTATTGTTTTATTACTTTAACCATCAACATAAAACTTAAAAAAATGTTTAAAGTAGCTTTCTGAACGATGATTTTTGACATTCCCATACAAATAAATTAGCCTATTCTCCATGCGGAAATAAGCTAAAAAGCTTTTGATGTTTTGAATTGCTCTAAAATACCTCTGACTTCTATACTATAGTGCCCAATTTTACTTTAAAAAACTATCATTTTTGTTTTCAGGGAACAAAAAGTTTACACAAGTTATGAATATCTCTGAAGACCTTGAAGTTGAAACAATTAATGACCATAAATTTGAAAATGTTCTTACAAAGACTACAGCACAAGAGATATCAGGTAAAATGTTTCATGTAACTAATTTGTATTATATTTAGCTGTTGACAATAAAAGGGTCTGTTAAATGTTCAAAACATGACATTCTGGCGATCAAAAAACAATGACTCCAATCTACTAACTAATATTGTAAGATATATTATAGGCCTATTTAAGAATTTCTTTAAGCCTACTACAACCAGAAAGAGTCCATCTTAGCAAAATAATCTCAATTTCACACTATACACATAAACTAGAATATTTTACTGTCAAAGACAATATTTTTAACCTACAAAGATTTGAGTTGGAAAGCTCCTTAAAATCTCTTTAACTCCTCTCATTCAGATAAGCCTATATGCAACAACAATCCTTGCGTCCTAAGCTGAAGCTGTGGTGCTCTATCTTGTATTGTTCGAGTATAACAACGACCCATTGTGTAGTAAAGTGCGTCAGATCAAACTGTGAGGTTTTAATGAGGACAGTAGGACAACCTTAAATGAGTTGCCAAGATGGAGTCATCTGTTTGGGAAGCTGATTGGTAAATAAGCATTCATCAGACTCCTGAACCTAAAAACTCTCTCTCGACATCAACTAATTGTAACTGTACACAAAATGTTAAGGACCTTAGTCCGCCTCTAGATAAGATAAAGATACTTATTGTTCACCTTTATTATATTTTTCAGGAGATTTGTTCATTGGAGGAGATGTAAGGATTGAAGAGGACTCTACAGTTCTTGGACAGCTGAATAACCAAAATATAACAGAGTTTGGTCACCGATGTTCAGTTTCTGAAAACACCATTACATGTAAAGGTTTGTTTTATCACTTCTCTGGAATCTTTTTTTTATTTATAAGTAATTGAAATCAGATAAGAATTGTATGTCTTAGGCTTTAAGATTTTTTAATGCTATGATAAAACAAATACAAAAGAAACCCCTGATGAAAGAAGACCACTGGATGCTCAAAGAAGAGGTGGGAAGATGAAATAGTCAGACATATAAATTATGAGGGCCAATGATGAAGAATAGGGTAAAAAATGCAGTTACTTGGTAAGGAGGAATATCTTCTTGGGTTTACATTATCCTTGGAGTAAGAGCAGGTAAGATTCTTTATATTGACACAAATTGCTAAGAGAGGTATGAAGAAATAATTCGCATATCTTACTATTTTTGTAGGAAATGCTGAGTTCAAGGAATCGGTGGAGGTTGAACATTTAAGAACTTCAGGCAAGATAAAGGGTGTCAACTTTCGAACTTTCTTAAAGACTGTCGTTAGAACTGACAGTCCCCAACATTTCGCAGGTCTAAAGAAATTTGTCGGAAACGTAAGTGTGTTTGAAAACATGTTTGATTCTTAAGATATGTGTTGACTTTATCAAATAAGTTGAAATATCAGTTTCCTCAGTACAAACTACAAACAAGTAACAATTTTGGAATGTATCGAGGCTCATTCTGTTTCTGTTGAGGAATATAAGCAATGAGAAGGTTATGTTGAAGGAAAACATTGACATCTTTTCTAATTTTGCAGGCTTTTGTCTGTTTGAGCTATTTTTAAATTAAGGTTGGTTGAGACTGTTAAAAATGAGACAGCTTTAACCCATTGGGGAAGGAATTAATGCGCTACCTGCAGCGCCCTCTGGCGGCAATTAATTTTACCGAATTTGTAGACTTTTACTCTAACTGCTATAGAAAGAAAACCTTAGGTAATAAATTAATAATTCTTTCACCATTTTGTTCACAGTAAAATTGTCTACAGAAAAATGGTAATTGGATAGTCAAAGTTCTAAACTAAAAAAAAATATATGTATAAAGATTATAAAAATAAAAATTTTTAAAACAATATTTTGAAAGTAAACTTGATATACAAATTCCAAGATTAATCCAGATACCAAATAACACTACTATTATAAAGTTCAATCGATTCCCTACGTAGAAAAATCAAAAGTTGTGTACTTTTATAAGTAATAACATTTTTTTTAAATTGTTTGTTTACCTTACCGCAGCTGATTTTTGGTGATATGTGGTTTCCATGGCATCACAAAATTGTTTGTTATTCGCTAAAATAAATGAGTAAATACGCAAATCAAGAAGCAAGATATTTAAAACATTATAATAGTAAGAAGAAACAAAAAGGGCGAAAAATAATAATAACTAAATAACTAATGGCGCTGCCTAGCGGTGACACGAGCGGCACTCGGGCCTGCAGCGGCCGTACGAGTAACGCTCGTAAGTCGGCGCCAATGGGTTAAATAAATGTTTTTTAGTTTTAAAGAAATGTTTTGTATTTTAAATTTTATTTGTGTATCTGTGTCAACGATTGTTTTTTATAGGGTTGTTTTTTTGTATTTATGAATATGTATAGAGCGAGAATAGATACTACCACAAATACTATAATAAAACCCGGTATGGATTATAATTATAAACATAAACAAGTGACGATGTTGGCCCTAATCCTATACTAATATAATGGCATTAACACATGTTTTGCCAGTTCCATTTACGCAATGTTAAATACTGTTTATTTTCGGGCCAAAAACGTCATTTGTTTAGGTTTATGATCCATACCGGTTCTTTTCAAGTATTCGTGGATACTATGGTGGTCTAAAGTCAATGACAATAGAATAGGAAGTTTTCTTAATTTGAAATAGTTTATGGCTTTTTGTATGGAATTTGTAACAAAATTTAAAGCTAGAATTATCTTTTAACTTAAGGGGAGGTGGAAGGTTGAATGTGTCAATTTCTGATATGGTAAAGTTTTGATTATCTGGCCTAAATTAGCATCAGTAAGGTTGAGTAAGCAAGAAGGTCAGAAAACATAAAGTAAACAGGCTATTAAAAAAAACTGTTGTAAATATATTAAAAACAAAACAATAAACATGCTTCTTCAATATTGGGTCTAATGAAAGTATTAGTATATGTTTGCTTTATATTAAAAACCAGTATTTTTCTGCTTTGAACCACCACCACAAACTGTATAAAAACCGTTTAAAGTTAAAACACTACTACTGTCACTGTCATTGTAAAATAATAAAAATAGAAGATAAAGTGATACTCATCCAAACAGCTTCAAGTCTCTGTTTTTGTTTTTGCACTGCCTGTTAAGATGTAAGGTTAGGTAGATGGATATGCACTATGCAGGTCCGAGGAGTTAAAGACCTATATGATAGTAGCATGCTAGAACAATCAAAAATGCATTTAGGTGCCTATTTCCTATTTCACACATTTGAAAAAATGTATGTGCCTAAAGCCTGGTGTATCTTCCAAGTACAGACCAGGGTGGCAAAAGCTGTCTTGTACCTACTAGGGTGTACAATTGTAACACACAGGAATTGTTCCATAGATCTCGATTGTCCACTGGGTCAAATGACACTCCATAGTGGATGACCGAGGATAGTCGGGATCTACCTTTTATTAGTTCTGAGATGAACAATTTCACAATGTTTTTTCCAAATAGTCCATGCTTGATCTTGTAATGGTTTTTCCAGGTGCACATGGAAAGTCTAAGAGATGTAGATCAGTTGAACGGAGAGAGCTGGGACAATTTTCTGTTGGACGCTGTGAGTGCAGTTGACGTGGAGCAGGTTGACAGGGATGTCACCTTCTCTGACTCGCTGACACTCGGCACACTGTCTGTGGACTACCAAATGTCAACCGATACTGTCAACAGTGTCGATATCTCACAGTGGAGGACTGACGCCATCTACATCAACGAGTCACAGTCTTTGGAAAGTGAGTTTCACTCTCTGAATTGAGAAATGTTTATTGCCTTTACACAACTTACAATGTTAATGTTGCAGTTGACTAGGTCTAACTTAAACTAGAGGTATACGCATGCTCGAAAGTCAGGTTATGAAAACCTATTGTTCAGAATGCCGATGAGTCCATATTGGCATAAAAAATCCTCCTAAACAAGGTAAAAGTATTGTTGCATCAGTCACTTTTCCATATTTTTAAATTTTGGATAAGGCTCAGCTCTGAAACGACGTGGCAACGTTGCATCCCCTACCTCTTCAAAGGCCAGTCCCATTCTGTAATCTATTCGACTATAGTAGGGATAGTTTGTTAAGTACAGTAGACTCCCTCTTATCCGGACTTCTCGGGACTGAGGTCAGTCCGGATAGTGGGTTTTCCGGTTAAACCGATGTCTTCAAAAACTTGTTTAAACGGACCGTTTAAATGCATACTGTATACAGTATTTGACTTAAGGTGGTATTCTGTTTGGGAAATTTGTTCGGGTTTCCTTTAGAGTTTTGTCTGCTATCTCAGAGAAGTAGTTATTGAATTGAGAAGCGTTTTTTGATGGGTCATCTTAAATTTTTCCTTGGATTTCCAGTTATTTTAAGGACACTTAAAAAGTCTTGTACTCAAGGCTAGGAAGCTTTTTTGAGTCTTGGTTACTCTATCTAAATCTGTATGAATCATGTGCTCATATCTAGTGTAATATGCATGACTGTCACCCCTGAGACTGGAATTTTTGAGATTTTGTTTAACAAGAAATAATGAGCACAACATTTACAAACTAGGTAATGTAATTTCATTAAGTCTAATAAAGTGAGGTTTGCAGATCTAATTGTTATTGTTAGTATTGAAAGTCCAATCCTTCTCATGAAATTAAAACTTATGTGAATCTCAAAACTACTTGATAATTTTCACACCCTCTGCCAGGAGAGATAGTGCTGGAGACAGCAGTCAGCGCAGGTAACGTGTCAGTAGAGATGTATGGAGGGCTGAGTCTAGAACATGATGTGATCCACCTCCACTCTGCGTCTAATCTGCCCTACCTCAGAGCTCGGTCTGTCACAGTCCTGGGCGAATTGGAGGTGATGGACAAGGTCAACGGAAAATATCTAGTGGAAGTGGAACGGAACACTCTTAAGGTAATGCTGGTTTGTACATTGTTGATAGTATTAACTTTTGGTTACAGCCCCTTTATATTCTAACTAACTGCAACATTTTTTTGTTAAAGAACATATTTAATTGACACACTTGCAGAGTGTGATATTGCCTGAAAACTATTTCCATTTCCACCCTTACTGTGATACTTGATGTGAAATTCTAGATTCTTTAGTTACAATAAGCAGACTTTTCAGATTGACTTATCTGACAAAAAAAAAAGTTTAAAAGTGTAATATATGCATATTAATTTATAACATTTTATATTTGTATTGGCAAAAGTGATATAACGGATAATTCAGTTAAATAAGTTAATACCGTTGGTTGAGCATTAGACCAATCACCGATAGCGTCCAATCCCCCACCTGTCCGGTATGATCCTTCTCTTTGCTTTCAGTAGCCCGCCACCTACACCGACTTCACCATGTAACGTAATCCCTTCACTCTACTAATGTCAACCGGCGGTAATATAGTTACAGTATAAAGCAACTTCTTATTATCACCCTGGTATTACAAGTTCCTTAAGTAGTGATTAAGTTTGTTTGACAGACATCAGGGGACCAAGTGGTACAGTCAGATCTGATAGTAGGAGACCTAATAGTGGAGGGAGATGTAGAGACGGAGGCTCTGGTAGATGAACATCAACTCAGAGATGCGGTTACTCTAACCTCCTTGAAGGGCTACTTCAGTTAGACTTATGTTGGGTTTGTTTGACAGACGTCAGGGGACCAAGTGGTACAGTCAGATCTGATAGTAGGAGACCTAATAGTGGAGGGAGATGTAGAGACGGAGGCTCTGGTAGATGAACATCAACTCAGAGATGCGGTTACTGTAACCTCCTTGAAGGGCTACTTCAGTTAGACTTATGTTGGGTTTGTTTGACAGACGTCAGAGGACCAGGTGGTACAGTCAGATCTGATAGTAGGAGACCTAATAGTGGAGGAAGATGTAGAGACGGAGGCTCTGGTAGATGAACATCAACTCAGAGATGCGGTTACTCTAACCTCCTTGAAGGGCTGCATCAGTTAGACTTATGTTGGGTTTGTTTGACAGACGTCAGGGGACCAGGTGGTACAGTCAGATCTGATAGTAGGAGACCTGATAGTGGAGGGAGATGTAGAGACGGAGGCTCTGGTAGATGAACATCAACTCAGAGATGCGGTTACTCTAACCTCCGATCAAACACTTTATGGTGAGCAACAGTTTTTGTCTTGCTGTTCAGTACCTAAGTAATGTAGACTTAAGGCTTGGAATATCCAGCAAAAGTAAATAAATAAATTGTAAATGCAATTACTTGTTTGTATTGTTTTTATTCAAATAGTATTAGGATATTTTTTTTTCACATAATGATAAATTTTTAAAATTACAAAACTCTTATGAGTGATGTTTGGGGATTTGAGGTAAGGTAACATCTGGGGTACCGTGAACCGTAGCGGTAAGTACACTAAAGCATAAACACTGAAATATCTTTTGACAAGGACACACTGTTTGTCTCCATAAGCTAAAACTATGTAGTGGTAGGTTTTTGTAGACATGTGTGCGTTGAGTTATGATTTACTGTAGTAAGAATAAACTGTAACGTATACCAGTAATGTTTGATACTTTTATGAGTTATATATTTCACCTATATTCAAATGTGTTGTTTTGTTTTTTACAGGAAAATATGAGTTTGATTGCATGGAGGTCCAAGGGAATGTTAGTTCATCAGAAATTATTTCTGGAATAAACTTGACCTCCTGGACACAGAATGGAGTTTTGAAAAGTGGAAGGTATGAATACTATATTTAGGGAAAGGACATAATCTATGTGCAAAATATAAATCCTTGGTCCACTGTCTCTAGCTTATTAGTAGAAATCTCAAGACAATCGTAGAAATTAGAATTGTGTGGTAGGAAAATAGTAGGATTACTTAAAAATTTATTTACGGAATATCCATCTCATTACTGTCCCCAAAAGAAATATCAGAAAGTTAAGAAGATATTTAAGTAGTAGTAATTCAACTTTTTCAACGTACCTATTATAAATGCACAGATGTTCTCATGCTTCCACTCCAGTTACTCCTGGGTCTAGTCCTTCTACAATTCCTTTGCTTTCAATATCTGCCATCTTACTCCTCTCTTCTCCACACCTCCACCTCATGTATCCACCTTCAACCTAGGTCATCCTCTTGGTTTCCTTTCTTATATCACTATCAACATCATTTTCTTAAGAATTATCTCGCTGCACATATCTAGATCGTCTTAGGCTTGATTTTAACTGTTGTCTTAAGCTATCTTAAACCATTCCTCTTCAGAACTCCTATCCTCTAACGTTGATAGTCTTACAAATCACATTCCTCCAGGTTGCACTTTGTTTCTATTCTCTCTGATAATATATACAGTAGACTCTCGCTCATACGGACTAATGTGGCGGACGTCCGGTCCGGAGTACGAAAAATCCGGATTATCGAGAGTCGAGCAAATACACAGTACTGTATAAGTGTATATAGCCGTTTTTTCAATTTAGATCCAGGTCCACAGTAATGATAGCCGTGCATATGCACTTCCACCGGTAATAATCTTTACGGCTGAATTTTGTTCCAGGTCCACAGTAATGATAACCCGGGGGATATGCACTTCCACCAGTAATAGTTTTTACCGCCGTGTTATCCAATTTTTTTTCATTATTCAAGGTAGTCTCGGTCCCGTTTCGCTTGGATAATCGGACTTCTACTGTACTGTGCCGCTAAAAAAAATCACGATTGCCGATCCAGACTACCGGGAGTCCGGACAAAGCCGATCCGGATGAGCGAGAGTCTACTGTATTATATATTTTTAATATGCTGTTGATGCCTGTTTTGCACATTCATGATCAACAGGCTGCAGAACATCTCGGGTGTGTGGAGTGTACAAGGACCTGTAGAACTAAAGGGTCCAGTATCAGGTAGAGGCAGACTGGCTGATGTAGACTTGCAACAACTTACTGACAACATCACTTCTAGCCTACTGGACATTCATGCTGAGATGAAGGTAAGACATCCGTTGTTCTCTTGACATTTATCCAGTTACATGGTCCAAGAATTGGACTTAAAATTCTCTACAAACGTTATTCTCCTAAAATTTTGGACGTTAATTTAAGGAATAGTATAAATCAAGGGTAATGTAGCCTGGAAGATATAAATTAATTAAAGATTCTCGAGACTGAAATTTCAGTTCAGGACAGGATTAATTTTTCCCTCCCATTGTTTCATAGAGTTTAGGAGCGATTGTCAGATGTTGTGAGCGATCAGCAGATACTGGGAGCGATCAGTTGGCATACCCAAAAATCCTGTCAAAAGAACCATCCTTAATATTCCATTTTATATATTAATATAAAAAAATCCTTAGTTTTTGGATCATGATTAATTCTTTTTTATCAATAGAAACCCAATTCCAGAAAAAATTAAACTTAATCCTACCCAGTATGTTAACTGAATACATTGGTTTTATATGGAGCCAGAGTTTATTAATCAAATTACTATATTGTTAGAGTAACCTCACTGGGGCCTGTGATGAGGCTAATGCTCAGCTAGCCTCTGCCAGGGGTCAGCATTGCAAGCTGCTTTATCTAGACACCACTCAGACCTTCTCAGTGCCCTCTGGCCCTTCCCTAGTCACTCACTTTAAGGTAGGTATGGCTCTGCACAGTTAGTACTGTTACTCTTACTATTGCATTTAAATACGGACATTTTCAATTTAATTTTGTCCATTATTTTGTTAGTGTCTACGTCAATTGCATCACAGAGCAGTAAGGTACAGAGGGAACATTCATTGGTACACTTAAGTGGTGTCTAGCACTAGTCGCTGGTATCTAGGGCAAGTCCAACACCACCCCCCTCGACATCATGTACTAACGCTCACAGTGGAGAAAGACCCTGTGGCCTGTGTCAAAGGAATAATTGCACAGTGCTCACCGCTCGGGCTCTTCCTTGCTCGTCACAAGTATATTTCCCGCAAACCGTACTGTAGCTGAAACCGCTCAGTCCGTTAAGCATGTTTGCTTTGTACCTTACTTCTCTGTGGTGGCATGCTCAAAATCAAACCAGTTTGTCTCTGAGATGGTATCCACTAGGCTAGCAACACTCCCAAATGATGTGATGTTTTATTTGATATCATTTCATATTGTTTTCTCTTGTCTGTTTTTTTTTGTTTTTGTTCCATAGCCGATGGTTTTTACCTTGGAATACATTTTAATGCTGATACATGTTGAATTTATCACTATGCTTATATGTTTTCGTAAACATCTAGGACCTGCTATTTGCCTCCCATGTTTTAGAATAGAAGTGATTTTGAGGTCTTGGTAGCACTATAACTCCAGTAGATCTAAGTTTTGAGGTCCCATGAATGGTAAGAGGTTTTTAAAACTGTTCTAATCCTTGAATTCTAGAGTGGTGATGAGGACTACCTTGCTGTCAGTGAGAAGAGTTGCACTACAACCATATACAAGTGGAACAGAAACACCGGTACATTTGTGACTCTCAACAGAGAAATGTTTGGCCATTCGCTGAAAAGCTTTATCATCTTGAACTATGAACAAATAACTTACGTCCTGACTGAGTCTTCTGAAATCTCTGCGGACTGTAACATCCCAGGGCTAAACCTTTGGATCTTTATGAGAGATCACTTTAAGGTGAGTATTGTAACTTTGTGAAGTCTTGTTTTGAGTGTCCTTGGAATGAGCAAGGATTTATAAAGTTACCAATACACATTTGATTATAATATACCACAATATTATACTAGGGCCATCAACATGGAATTTAATAAACATTTCACTTGTTTGAGTTTCTTGAATTTGTACTATCACTATGTACACGATTTAAATATATGTACTTAATGTATAGATGCTATTAAATAAACAAGATGTTTATCCAAATAAAAGAATTAATTAATAACAATTCTTTATTACAATGGCTTATGTAGTATTTTCTCTACATAACACTTGTTTCAGCATGTTACCAATGTCAACTTCTTCTCCGGAGATCTCTTCCAGGGAGAAGGAAACACACTTTACATTGCCAACTCTGTTGGAATGTTCAAGTACGAGATGTATTTTGATAATACAGAAGGAAAAGCATATTTTACCTCGTCTCCCCATCGTTGGAATATCACAGCAGGTAATTAATCTGTCAATCACCCTTATGTAGTAATAAATTTAGTTTTATAAATTGTTTAGCCCTCAAAAATTTTATATATATGTTATGTTATGTTATGTTACTTGGATCCAATTTTATTTGTTTTGTTTGGATTTTAAATTAATATAATTTACTCCCATGTTATTCGTACACATGAAGGTACTTCCGTATTTTTTATATCATACCCACTAACAGCGTCAGTTTCTTCTATTCTGTGCATCTTCATCAGCTGTCAGCTGTCTACATTCTCATGACTTCAACAACTCAATCTTCTCTCCTCTTCTTATGGTGTCCAAAGGATCTTCCTTCCAGAGTTTCCTTGTTGGTTATACCATTGCTTTGTCTCTCCTCCTTATCTAATGTCCTAGGTTAGTGTTAGTATTGATGACAGTAATTTCTGTTCACAGATGTACCCAAGGCATGGTCAGGTGCTGTACATTACCAGTGGCTGTCTGGTGTGTATGAGACCAGCAACTGTAGTGGACAAGTGATCAGCATATCTGCTGACCCAGCCAGTCAGTTTGTAGCTATGGCCTCCACTGAGCCTGCTGAAGTACCCAGGCATGCTGATTATATCAAGGTATCACTCTTATTGTCTGTCTGGTATGGTTAACTTAATTTAATTTGTCTATACTAGAAGTAAAGATGTGTGGATATTCAACATTAGATTGGGTGTAATTATTTAGCAATGTGAAACCATTTATAAGGTCTGATTCTAATGCTGTTCACAACAGGTGTATCGCCGAGACGGCCGATTGTTTGACAAGTTGCCAGCCCTGAGAGTCGCTCAGCTCCAGTGGTTGTCAGTGCCTGGACAGACCTGGCTGATGGCTCTACAGAATCACTCCACTCTCAATCTGTATCAGCTTCAAGGTACCTCTGTAAAATCCTATTTGTAAGGGTACTTTGGTATTATACCGACCACAACAATAAATCAAATTCAAAATAACATTTTAATTAGGTTAACAAAATCTTCCTAACCTAACCTAACCTGAAACATAGTCCACCCTTAGGTTAGTTTAGGTTATAATTATTAGCTTTGGTCGGTATAATACCAAAGTACCGATTTGTCTGTGGAATGTGCTGAATTCAAACTTCTTTATTGCTTAAATCTGTGGAAAGTAAATAAAAGAAACGTCTTATAACACTTAAAACATATATTTACGCTTATACTGTTACTCACAAGACGTTAAATATACATAAAAGATGGTAAGTGGTGATCGATTTCGATTGGACACTCCAATCATCATCAGACCCAATAGGCGAATGACAAGAATCTTGAATGGCGTACCTACTTATACCCTATCGGCTACCGGAAGCACCGGCCAATACATTTTTATAAGTACAACTGGAATCAAAATTTACTTGTTCTTTAATCAACTTATTTCTATTTTTACATTTTTCCTTATAAATATACAGTACTTCCCAAGCATTCATTACATATCCTTTCTTACAATTCTTTAGAATACCTAGACTACTTCCATTTTTCCTATTGAGTGGCCATTTTGTAACAGGTGTTGTGCGACATTTGATCTTTCCGGTTTGTTGTTCCTCCACGCAGATATGTGGTTTTTGAAGCGGTTGATGAAGTTCACTGTCTGTCCAATGTAGAAGCTATCACAATCATTACAATTGATTTTATAGATGCCCGAAGCGTCAAATTTGTTACAATCTTCTATTTTTGGATGCAGTATTTTACTCATCGTGTTCTGAGTCCTGTAGGCTATTGAAACTCCGTATTTCTTGAATCTGTTAGCAGTCCTTTGTGTTGTAGTCCCCGTGTAGCTAAATGTGACATATCTGGTGTTTTCCTCTTTTATCTCTTCTAATGTTGTTCTTCTTAAATCTGTCTAACTCCTTTTTTCTTGTTCTGTAGAACTACCATGAATAAAGAGTTCCTTAATAATGTAGGTGTGATTTTAAAATAATTTTTTATGATTCGAAAAAAAAAAATAAAGTTTAGTGCTATGAATGTGCTGAAAAACTGGCTTCCACACACTGGGTGGTGTTTCAAAAAGGCTTAATACTGCACATCACATAATCCATTTTATATGCCATCACCTACTGTAAGTTATGTTTGATGTACAGAGGATTCTCGATTATCTAACTTTCTGTGATCAAGTTCTGTGAAATGGAATGCCATTTCCTGGCGGTATCACTCCACTATATACCGTAGTGGTACATTGAGATAACCCCTTTTGCTGTATGTCTACTGAGAAGATTTGTGTCAGTATTGAGGTACCTGCACTTTCGAATAGTGTTACTTCTTAAGGTCTTTCTGCCGATCTGACCTTGCCACGGCCTGTTTTGGTTAGCTAATTGAGACTAATAGATATTAACACCAAAGTCTACGAATCTAATACAAAACGTTACAATCCCTGTATACTTTTTTAACATTTGTTATAAATGAAGTGTGCTTATTTTGATTGTTTCTAGGGCCACTAATCGGGTTTCAGCCACAGATGTCTATGCAGACAGATGCGAAGGTTGTGACAAGCGTTGCTTTACCTCTAGCTTCTAAAGTTAACTTGCAGCCATACATACTCATCCAGTCTCTAGCCTATGTCAGAGTTGTCAGGGCTTTTATACAAGGTGATCCGTATCTAGGCCAGAATCTTAGTTGCGAATTTGATCAAGTTTTGAAACGGGTTCCTAGAAAGTAGTCAATAATTTGTATTTTATGTTGAATGTTAATCAATGTTGAAACAAGTGCCTGGAAAGTAGTAATTTTATGCTTCCTTGTTTTGTAACCAGGTTTGGTCGAATTTTGAAACATATTTCTAGAAAGTAGTAATTTAATTTGGGTTTTGTATTTCTGGTAAAAAATTTCCTTTGTTTTTAACTGTGTAAGATTAATATTGAAACAAGTTTCTGTAGTGATTTTACCCTGGTTTTGTATTTGATATGGAAATATCTTGACTTGTTTTCCAACTGAGTCGTACAAGAATTGTGATAACTGCCCTGAATTCAGGACAATTAATTTGTTAGTAGTGTAGTTTTGTTACTATTGAATATTTTGTGTGTGTTTATTAGCTTAGTTATCTGCTAGTTCTTGACTATTTGTGATGTATAATGTAAAGTGTTTGTGTCTAGGAATAGTGGTAAATGTTAAAAGAAACATTTAAGACTGAAAACCTAAGACTTGTCTTTAAAATATAGTAATTTATGAGTACAACTGTTGTAACTGTAAGACTGATTCTGCCTTGTAAATTTTGTTAGTAGTAACTTAGCAACTTTTGTGATATAAAGTGATATTTTGGAAATACAATGTAAGCTAAACTACAGTTTTTGGAACTTTATATTCCTTTCTTTTATTCCACCAAATGCTCTTGTTTTGTTTGCTCTACGGATAACCTTTAATCTCATAAAGCCACTCCAATAACAAACATGAATCCATTACAAAATAAGAACGTTCTTTTTAGCGAATTTCCTTATAGGTCAATAATAAGTCATATGTCATGGGCTGTATAGGGAAGTAGCTATTACCGTAGTTGGCACAGTAAGACCTAGACCCAGGACTGAATAACTTTTTTATTTTGATGTCCTTAGAGGCCAAAAACACCATTCGTTCAAATTTGTACATGTATATATATATTCTCGGTAATATATACGTCCGTGAACGCGATATAACTTGAGTATTTTTTGTCCAATCTTGATGAAATTTTGTTTAAAAGTGCAAGGCGGGATAAACTTAAATGAGATTGCGAACCAGCATGATCAGACCATGGGAACAGGGTTTTACGGGAGGTTTTATGGGGTAAAAAATGGTATTTCTCATTTTTGACCCTCAAAACGCAAATTTCCCAATTTCTCTCCAAACCATTTTATAGAGCTTAAAAAACAAATAATTTAGTATCAAAGTGTTTTTGTATTGTTATTGGTAAAGGAGAAAGTTAAAAAAAATGTTAATTTAAAATTACCATGTTATTTTTATGGGGAATATTGTAAAATGTTGTAGTTTGCTTGTTTAAGGATATATTTTGATCAAACTTGGCAAATTTTTTTTTTTTATACCAAGCTATTAATATTTTACTAAAAATACACTTTATTAGTTTCCTTGTAGCAGAAAACCTAGGTACTCATTAAACCTAATGTTTTTAAAATAGATTTAATTAAAATTTTAATTCAGACAAATGGAAATTCGCTTAGTCGGCAGGTTTGCTGCGGCGGGGGTATTTAATCCTTTCCATATGTATAGAAATACCCAACTGATTATGTAAACGTTAAAATCCATACCTGTACCTTTACTTTTTCCATTGAAACAAAATAAGTATTAAAATATTTTTTACCCTATATTACAAAGTAAATTAACAGTCATTTGACAGTGTAAACAGTTTTTACTACAATGTTGTAATTCACATTTACTACATTAAAGACATCTACTTTATTGAGATGAAATAGTATTCTTGTTATAGATCTCTTGTATTCTTGAGAATGCTATGTAAAATGATGCCATTGAATTCACCACCTGAAAATATTACAACATTAGAAATGTGTTTCTTATACAGTTAACTTTTTTACAATACCTGTTATTCATGAAGATGTAATATTTTGAAATCAAAACAAAACCTTAATTTTAAGCCACTCAAACCTCGTGATGTTTTTGGTCTCGCAAACAACCCTCTCCTTCAATCTTGACCTTTCATCCAATCTACTTCTGTTCCTATTCTTGTGATTTCTTATACGATTTGATCCTTTATAACACAGCGTAGATACTCTTCTAATGGTTCTATTAATTTTTTTTTTTTAACTGGCTACAACTTAACATAGGAATGAAACATTTAGTTGTATCCATAGTCAAAGCTATCTAAAGTGAGTCCTTAACTTACCCACACGAAGGTGTGAAGTGACAGCTCTGCTGTGTAGCTCTGTTTAGGTGTGAGTCTAACCGGCCGACGACATACACAGCTGATGGTCACCAGGGCTTTCTTGACGAAACGATCGTGAGAGTACCACGGCGCGTGGAATGCATCTTGACAAGTCAACAAGCTCTGAACAGTATTAGAGGTTGGATAAAGTAAGTACAATTAAATCTACAATATAATGTTTGGTCTAGAAGCGTCAGAAACATTAGTGATTGAGAAAACAAAAATTACCGGATTACTTGACTCATTTCCTTTGGTACTAGGGGTAACAAATAATCTTCATAGATTTTGGTTCATCAGCTTTATTTCTCACCTGATTTTGCCCTCTTCCTGAAGTTCTTTTTTCACTATCGGTTTTAGCATTCCTATTATCCTATTTCTTTTGGGTTCCAGTTCAAAGTTTACTGGCTAATATTTTTATAACTCATCCTTAAGGTGTACTTTCTTATTAAGATTTCAACACAGTCCATTTTGTCTTGCCTACATAATTCCTCATTTCTGACTGTGTCTGGAAATCAGATCTTAGGTCTACAAAGTCAAAGTCTGGCAGCTTTACAGAAAGCACAGACTTGACGTTACTTCTAATTATTCATAATTTAGTGCTTCTACTTGGTTGGTTTGATCGCCTGGTTTTGTATTTTGCTGGGTAAAAACTTTGTTTACTACCCTCATTGTCTGTGTAAACTGTAAAGTCTTCAAACTTTGCTACCCAATTGTCTGGTAAGTCTTCATCTGTCTCACTGACTTTTTCTTTGACTCATTTAATGAACAAAAATGGAAAAATCTTTGAAGAACTCTTTGAAAATTGGAAAAGATTAACATTAGGACCAGACCATACAAGAAAACAAAAACCATCAAAAACCACTGTGAGAAAAGGCAAACACAATTTATGGACGAACACAAGATAAATGATAGCTTACTGACCTATAAGTTATTAATTCAAAATTCAAGTTAATTGTGCAAAACCTCGTAAACCATCTCTGAATGAGGCTTGGCACCTAGGCAGGAATAAAGATTGGAAAACATAACACAAACACAAAATAGGTACTAGAAAAGGTCAGGAAAACCAAAACAGTGGACAAAGGAAGGAATAAATTTACAGGGAATAAGTAAGAGGTTTTTATAAGAGCAAATCAAAATACTGGCTAAGAGACCATAATAATTGAGTAAGTTTTTATTTTTTGTTTAGTCATTAATAATAAATTAATTTTTTTAAAGTGAAACATCGGTATGCTTTAAAAAGTAAGTACTGAATCAAGCTAAATAACTTCTTGATAAGCATTGTACGTGTTATTAAATTTACGGAAAGTTAATAAAAGAAACGTCTTATAACACTTAAAACATATATTTACGCTTATACTGTTACTCACAAGACGGTAAATATAAAAAAAAGATGGTAAGTGGTGATCGATTTCGACTGGACACTCCAATCATCATCAGACCCAATAAGCGATGAATGCATATATTTACGCTGATGCATCATATCCAGATTTTGAAAGCAGAACCAATCCAATGTAAAAACCGTTTTAACCATTCAAACTTTTTCAAAACGTAATTTTTTAAAAATAATTTGTGCAGCAGGCCTAGACTTAAAATAATATCTTTAAAAACTATTTTAGGTCTCATTTAACCTGGGTCCACATGGGCTAAGGTGTGTGTGCATCAAGAAAGCATAGATAGAGCCATTGCAGAACAATAATAAACTGTCCTGATAAATTTTGAAATGAGTGTCGGCAGTACACAGTCACACTATTGACTGAATTTCCGACTGGATCAGCTGTTGGTTAGCAATTATAAGGCTTACTGTTTCACACACAACTATAATCAAAAGGTTTCTACTAGTAGTACTAGTACAAAGTAATGAAAATGTATGAATGTACGAAAAAAAACGTGCAAAAATGTAAAATATAATTAGTTTATTTTATTTGATCTTCTATGGATGTCACTAAATTCTCATAGGACGTAGGTGTTTACTTACCTCAGCCTGTAAGTACGTGCCTGCCATGCAAATTAGCATAAAGAGGAACACATCTCCCACAAAATACCCGTTGATCATGATCTTTTCTGTCACACTGAAGACTTCTGCTTGTCCCTAAATTACAAAAATACATGAATTAGATATTCTCTTAAATTTAAATCCATGCATAACGAAAACGAAATGTTTAAAATTTTACCTTGGTAATGTAAAACATCCCCATGGAACCGATTGTGAAAATAAAGAGAAAGAATGCCACCAACACTGGAGTATAGAGTTCTGTAAATTCTCGGCTCAGCCTGGATAGGAAAATAAATCAAATTTGTTAGTACTGTTTTAGCATAGTTGTGATCAGTAAATCATAACAGCTGTTTTAAATCAGCTGTTTTTTAGGCCAACCAAGTTAGATTTGAATATAAGGTAGTAAATAGTTCAATTTCATGTAATTTTGTGATATAGTGATACATTACAACTCAGTAAACCTGCAATCAAACAAATATTTTATCTGAATATTTAACAGGTTGTTATACTCAGAGCATTTGCCAAACAAGTTTTGTTCATGTTAGATGTTCCAAGATTTACCAGGTAATTCACAACAAAGATCTATTATTTTATGGGCAACTTTAGTCTTGAAAAGTTTACATTCATTCTTTACATTGGGAAACTTGATTTATGGACATTACAGATAATTTCACAATATATTGTATTTGGAAATATACTTAAATTTTTATTGAGTTTTATTGTACTGCAATTTTACAGCACAATGGGTTTACCTTAAAACATGATTATGATGCTCAATCCAAATTTTTACTTGCTCTTCAACTGTTTTGAAATTTTTTCGGCTCTGAGAGTTTTCAGCTGGCAATGCTATTGGGACATTTTTCTCCAGTTGTAATGTTGATTTCTGAGGATCAGATTCCATTATAGCTTTCAGTTTCAGTCTAAGGTATCTGAATGAGAGAATCAGTGATAACGTAACGTTTAGGATGTAAAGATCATTGACAGTGTGTAGAACTATCATCATTTGAAGCACCATTGTTTCGAAGGACAGTGTGGTCCAGAAAATGGTGGGGCTACTCGCTACATTGAAGTAATATACTGGGTAGAGCACGAGATTGTTTTTTGACAAATACGGTTTCAAGAATTCAGACTCGTAAGCCACTATCTTCTGTAGAGAATTGATCGGTGTCAACATGATAACAACGTAGAAGTAGTACTTGATGAAACGATTTATTTTTCGGATCTGTTTCTCAAACACTTTGTCGTACAAGAGCAAATCTTCTTGTGTGTCCTGAGAGAAGACATTTTTGAGATCCAAGAAGTCCTGAAAGTTGTTGAAAATTTCCTCCCCTCTGAGGATGTAGTATGCGGCAAGAATGCTGCCGTAAATATCCATGACACTTACTGTACAGCTAGAGCCTCCTCCTTGGTTGAACTGCCAAAA